ATTTTCAAGTGGCAACCCACAACTTTATCTCGGGCCGCTTAGGGTTGCACTACGTACACTAAGTACGCGCCCACTTCCAAGGAGAGGTTGGCCTCCCCGGTGCTTCCCTTAGGGAAATTCAAGATTATGGCCAGAAGTTCACTTTTCTGTTCAATTTGATAGCCAAGCAAATTTGTTTATTTGCCCTTTGCCGACAACACCCCCCCCCATAGGAGTCAAACTATGGGCTCAGCTCTCAAAGTAGCCGCCCGCCTCTATGCAAAATAGACCCACGGGTAGGAGGCTTTTCTGAACGAAATATGCCGAGTTGGACGTCAGAAGTCCCAAATTCGGGATTTATGAAAAAAACTCTATGATCATTCCCGCGTAGAAATCTACCCATTTAATGGAATGCACCCTTAGGATTTTTCAACCGTATTTCGTAGCCTTTCTACTCTCACATGGAAGTCCAAAGACCCAGGGAGTTGATTCTGGCAAGGATTTACACAATCTCACAATTTTGGTGGCCGAACAATTTCCTTTTTCACAAGAAACTGTGAGGGCCAGCTAACTTGAGCTGGCCAGAAATTTTCACTTGCCTGCACCCTTATCACCTCCATCCGAAGAAACGCAGCGTAATACCACAAGAGGGCGCAACACGTGCATGTCTGTGGTGTGCATGCAGGTGGTGCATGTGGTGTTTAAACGACACGGCACGACACGACGCACGACGCGACGCGTTGTCGACCTTCGCTTCATGGTGTTTATAGAGGGCGCCTTTACTGTTTTCTTTCATTTCCGTCCCCCGTGCTATTTGCTCTTTGGTGTTGATTTTTTCTTGTGTTTATCTCATCCATTCATCGATTAGGATTAATTTCTGTCATATTTTATTGAGAAAATGAAAAAAAAAGCAAAAAGAAAATCCGTATATATAGGAACTGCTATCTCATAATAAATGGAAGCCAGAATTCGTCACTCTTTAAACCCAGCCAATGATTTCTTTTCAATACCGTCAATGAAGTTCCCTTGTGGTAGATTTATAACCTTATAGATACCGGTATTTCTCTGTGGACCATCCCGGTAATTTCTAAGTAGTACTCCCAGTTCTCCAGACAATTTGTCTACAATTGTACGGCCGCAAGTTTGAGTAAGGGTTTAGGAAGTTACCAATATTCCGTCTTAGTCTTCCTTGATGAGATCAGTGTTCCTCGTTACCTTCATCAGCACCACACTTTCAATAATATTAGTCCTTGTTTCTGAATAAAACATTATACAGACGCTATTACCATTGTGGCCGTGTCTTTTCTTCAACTGTTTGGCCACACACATGATTTCTCCTCAGATCCGCATGTTACATTAGCAAGCACGTAACAGTGATTTATGTATTGTATCTTAGAATGGATTTAAAAATATTGTAGCGGACATAATATAAGAATCATGACACCTGCTTACATTATTTATTTGTTTACTAGTTTACGCCTTTTACTGTCAGTCAACCAGTGAGAAATAAGTCGTTTCCAGCTAAAATAATGAACAGTTTTTGCACGGTATACGAAAATACAAATATTATCACGTTATATAAAGCATACATTTAATATTGAGAAAAAACAGGGATTCTATTTAACAGCAAATATTATGAATTAACCATGAAAATAAATAAAGGGCCTAGCTTGAAGACGATCTATTGCTGAGGTTGGGAACGACTTGACTTGGCTTGACTTGAGTAGCTGTCGAGCTTGTAGTAGAAAGGCTTCCAGTAAAAAGAGCTTGAATGGAAGATGTGTTAAGTTGAGTGATAAGTGCAGATGATGTTTAGGATTCAAATGCTCAGTCTCTCCTTCCCCTCGACTAAGTCAGGTTTCATAACAGAATTCATGTGGCTCTAATCCAGCCCCCCCCCAGTGTCCATCAACGTATGCATGTGTAGCTCAATAGGCTTACTCTGGTGATGTCTTTGCCTAGAGCAGGACAAGGACGTATTTGTAAGTATGGCAGGTTCGATGGAAGGAGAATTCACAGAGAAACAGCAGAACAGTCTCTGTTCAGTCATGTAGCCAAGTGAAGTGGAAGGTCACTGGCTAGGGAAGTTATCAGCTCCTTCACAAGGACTCTTGTGGTTGGTGGCAAGTTCTGCCACACGCGTTGCCAAGCAACCCACACATTTCTGAGAAATTGTATGACCTAATTCTGGGGGAGTTAGGATTTCAAAAAATGGGGTAACAAAATTAATTCTATTACACAATTATTAGAAAGATCAAAATTAGAGCAGGAAAAGCAAAACAAAGTTGTGGCTGATGTTACTTATTTCCTGGAGACAAGGTTGATATTTAATCATGACGCTCTTTCTAATTACATTTGATTAAAAAAACCCTTTTCTTCAACAACTCACTCTTAATGAAAACACAAATTTAGAAAGCATGCATGAAAAAGAACAACAGAAACAAGACCTGCTATCTATTCGCTCAATGTACGCCGCCACCATAGGCATGCAGAGCCTCTATCTGGCAGCTTTTTCCGTGCATGTTGCTTAGTAGCTTTGAGCATGCTGCGTTTGTTCTTCTACCATCTATACTATAGGCCTACGATTGGACAATATTTCAAAAGCTGTCAGTTCGAGGCTCTGCATGCCCATGGTGGCAGCGTACAAAGAGCGAAAAGCATCTACTGGGTGCAGTCCACTAATTCAAGTGAGAATTTCGGGTCAGCTCATTAGCATTAAAAGTGCCCCCCACCCCGCATCTTTTGAAAAAAAGAGAGACTGTTTGGCCCACAAAATGATGAGACTGAGTCAATTGTTGCCAAGATCAACTGCCTGGGTCTTTGAGCTTTCCTATGATAGCAGAATGGCTAAAACTACGGTTGAAAAATGGTCCTAAGTGCCCGAGAAAGTTTAGGCTTGCCACTTGAAAAATGGCTGCAATCAGACTTCGGAAAAATCACTTTTCAGGGGTGATTTTGTTTTTATGGGAATAATTAAAAATGTAATTGGTTAACCCACAAAAAATTGAAAAGATATTGAAAGATTAGGGACCAGACAGCTATCCAGACAGCTATTTCATTTGGGTTTCAGAAATCTCAGGGATGTTGGTGTGCATGTTATTGGGCCCTGAACAGTGCTAATTTTACACTCTTTTCAAAGGGGCTTGAATTAGTGGACTGTACCCTGCTATGCAAGTACAGTGGACGGCAATGAAAGAAAACAGTAAAGGCGCCCTCTATAACCAAAGGGCGACAGCACACGACGCGTTGCGTCGTGCGTCGTGTCGTGCGTTGCGTCGTACTTCATAGGCACGGCACGACACGACGTACAACGCGACGCACGATGGTAAGACGCGACGGGCTACGAAAGGGGCGACGTTTAGGCGAAAAAAATGCAACATGGAAAGGATCTAAGACAGCACGACGCAACTGGTGACGGCACGACGCGACGCTTCGTGTGTGTACAAACGTAATGGCAAGAAGGCGACGGTGCGACACGACGGCACGACGCAAGGGAGCCGTCGTGCCGTTGCGTCGTGTAGTTGCGTCGCCCGGATGGAGGCTAAAGAGAGAGAGAAATGTTTGTCGTAAATAGTACACCCTGGGAGCGTGCTTCTCATGCATGTAATACATAATAGCATAACACAAATCTCACAGCCACGTGCGTAATTCTGATGGCTCCCTCCCTTTGATGGTGGAAAGCAGAGTGGAAATACAGAGCAACTGTCAAGGAACGGTGACTCGGTATCAACACAATACAAATATCAGAAATACCTGTCACAACTGCTGGGGTGTGCCAGAGATGATCGTCGGCAGATTCGTCTATGTGTGCGTCCGTCGGCAGCAATGATGAACCAGGCCGGGCGCTTTAGGCCTAAGCGGACAAGCCCCCCCCCCCACCTCATAATCCTACAGGGTGTCCACATAAAAGTATACCAAGAGAAAAACTACTGTAACGGCAATTTCTCTTTCCCATAGTAGGCCTATGGGGAAAAAAATATATCCCCAGAGAGGGCAGAATGTCCTCTTCGCAGTGGTATAGGCCTATACAGCTTGTGATGTTATTAACACAGCATGAGTGAACAAACTAGACCGATGTTAGTAAGCCTGCTGAAATCGGCACTGTGACAAGTTTGCATATTTGATTAACAAGGCTCAACCGTGCAAGTGTGCAGAATACCAAATACCTTTGCTTTAATCAAAGCATGTTGTTAATCAAATACGCAAGCTTGTCACAGTGCCGATTTCAGCATACCCTTGACATTGACAAAAACTTCCATCTTGTGGGCCCATTTGGTAGAGAGGCCGGCGGCTACTAAGCCCAAATGGAATACCAGTATGCAAGGAGATGGAAAATTGAGTCAGTATTTGTAAAATGAAAAAGAAAAACTGCCCAAGTTGCTTGAATTTCCAGTATAAAACATCTTCCAGTGTGGTCACCAGGCGCGGCGACGCTTTTTTTCTCAGATTTTTTTGGTTGTTGCCTCAGGGCGCGATTGGTCGAACTGGCGCTGCGCTTCCAAATTTTGGACTGCTAACGTGAAGGATCAGAAATACAGTATTTTGCTACGATTAACGACAAAACGACATAAAAATACAACTTTAGTTAGTATACATTATTTTTGTTTCCCCAAGCCTAAATAATTTGTCTTTGGAACAAACACACGGGTGACAATTTTGGCAAATGGGCGGATCACGGACAAGCCGTCAGATTTTTATGTCCTTTTGTTGCAGGCAGGTGGATATGTAGGCAATACGTGTATATTACATTGTAACTGATACATAGGCTGAGGACTTTTAATCCCAGTATAAATTTCAGGGTGTTGTAAAAAAAATTGAGAAAACCAGCCCTGTTGCCAGCTTTGCCTCCAGGCGTTGTTCGCGTATGGGTGGGTGTGTGTGTGTGGGGGGAGGGCAGTATCACGAAAACAATATGATTACTGCCGATGGGGGCGGCTGCAACTGCCAGGGGGCCCACGTCACCCCATTGGCGACCAGTTGTCTAAAACTGAAGGATAATATTACAAAATGCAAGACACACATTGAATGCTTGAAAGTGTAAATTCACGTTTATTCAACACATTGGGGTCTATTAAGTAATTGGGCATTTTTACAGAATAACAGGCTTGAAGTACCATCAAGGAAGGATCTAAAAACTGCCACAGGTGTATTAATGGTAAATAATGCTGTAATTAAAGGTGACTAAAACACCGGTAGAATTGCAGTCGCTACTAATAGGATGTTAGTTGTCACATTCAGTCTGCACTAAAAAAAAAGTTCATTAAATATTTGGTTAATTTCAGTAGAAAACGACACACCCACAAACATTTGGGTTGTTTCAGCTAACTTCTGCTCAAGGATCATTAAAGTCTATTTAAAAAACCTGACAAATCGAATAGTTCTGAAAATCGGAAGTGCCATGATAAAAGTGTGATTTTTCATTTATCTTGTTGAACCTACACTGCTGTTTAGGTTACTTTTGGGTGGCGAGTTTTCAACAGTCATGTTGGACTAAACAAATAAATACTGAGGTGTAACAGTACAGGTACAAAGTGTGTGGGTGTTGGGGAATTGCACATTTAACATCTATCCCAGGAAAGTACAGCGCGTACTAACTATTCAGTCCTAAGTCATATCAAACAATTTCAAATATTCTTTGTGACAAGATACGCAATTGGGAACCTGTCATCTTGATAACTTAATTCTCATCTGGTATATGCGCCACACTGGTGAACTGCAACACTGGGCTTAATTTGGCCTACATGTGTTTTGTAGCTTTCTTCGCCGAGCACGATATAAATATGTATTTACAATGGAGCCTTTGCATAGCCTTGTGGTGCAGCTTCAAGCAGAAGCTGATGTTGCCATTAGTATATGACTTTCATATCATTTGGGGCTAAAGTAACCTAGCCTGGTGGTGCTTTTAAATGTTACTACTGGGTAAGAAGGCACAATAAATAATGCTGACAGCTAGGTGGTTGACCTTAACCAGTCTACAATAGATGTACATGTAATGTCTCACAAAGCGGTGATTATAACAAGATATGAATTCCTCACAAATCAACAATATGGTTTTGTCAGCATTAAAACATTTCATGTACAATGCATGTTAATACAATTAGCCATAATTCTGATGAAAGAAAACAAACTGAAAGAAATGAAAGTCCAAACAATATTACGATACCCTTTTTACTCTGTATTTTCTAACTTATTAAGTATAAACTTAATGAGGCAAGTCAAATTAATATTTAGATAACGTGACAATCAACAAAGGGATTTCCCATATGAAGACCTACATGTGTAACTCCCAATAATATAATTTTTTTAATATCCAGGTCATTTGGTACAAGAAATTATAAAGCAAAAGAAACACTCATAAAATCTTCACCTTTATTTACTTCATTAAGAGTGAGAGTCTGTGGTATCACAAATGGGTTTTTCATGAGAGTTAAAATAAATAGGAAAATAACCTATTGAGCTGTGTATACCCCCATCAATTCATTCATTGATAGACAGTACCAATCCATGAACTTCATGAATTTCAAGGGAGAATCGTAGACTGAAGCGGTCAATAGATCTTTTGTCTATAGTTTGTGTACTTTTTTGGGTGCATGTTCATCCAGTAGAAATTAAACGAAGATTGCTGCAAGAGTAACTGGTCTCACCTACAGTTAATGCTAAAAAAATATTCTCATATTTGTTAAATTTATGCAAATCACATCATGCCGTCCCATAGCAATATTGAAAATTCAGTAACCCTACTGAAATGCAGTCAGATCTGACTACAAAATCAATATGTACAACAAATCTCATGCAAAATGTTGGCAGCGTAACTGAAATTAATCGATCATTTTTCTTCACAAATACAAATTCATAGTTAAAGATCTTTTTTCCATTCCAATAAAAATGATTTAACATTTTTACTTAGAAATTTCAAATCAGTTAAATGTTTGTTATTAAGCAAAGGCTTTTATTCAATAATAAAAATCCAAAACCAGTCCCTTCCTAAAAATTGAATACATATTTGAAAGATGTCAAACATCAATTCAGTGTTTTGCACAGTACTCGATAACATTTTGAGCATTTCTTCATATGCAACAATGTTATGTCTCTATATACTGTCTATTCTTAACAAAAGGTGTTGGCCTTTGAAAATAATCTGCAACAAAACGCATCTGTTGAAATCTATTTGATTTGCCTTGTGAAAATGTTTCAATATCATTCCCAAAAAAGCTTAACTCAATACACCAAACTACATGTGCCCATTTAGACAGCTTTTTAAGAAGCACATTAAAATGTTATGCATGAAAATAGGCTGGAAGTTGTTCATTAAAATTTTCACTTTTTCTGCTTTAATACAAGCAAAAATTTGAAGTCGATTACACCACTGCTACTCGTCTAAATGACATATTGCAAAAATGCTCTATACCCCAGCATGCATACATGTATGACTCAAAGCTAGGGCAGGAAATGTAATGATGACAAATTTTACTGTACAAGGAAAACAGGACTGATCTCAGTGTTACCACAGTTTGACACAAACTATCAAGTCGCATCCATGACAATCCAAGAGTAAAACAAAATACGTGTACAGCAAGGTATCATCTAGAGAATCCCTTAATATCTCTCCAGTCCTGAAGGATATGTGAAGGGCAACTTGTAAGGTATGATCCATTTTTTTCTATTAAGAAGTAATAACAAAGCCAACTGTTTTGTTCAGATTTTTGCAATACAAATGACAAACATTTTCTAAATCCAGCACACTTCCGACTGAATACAAAGTCAAATCCATTCACTCATAATTGTATCTACATGTCCAACCCTTTGGCAAAGTAAATATATCACTCGCAAACTGAAACAATGAAAATGAGAAACCTATTCGTATACAGGTCTTCAGGACTATTTTACCCTTTTCTATTAGATAAGAATATAGATTTTCATAATTTAGAATTCAAAAATATGCATTTAAATTGAGTTGAGCTTGTTTTGTTCGCTTTTGACAAAGTTTGCATAATACTTGTAAATGTATAGGATGTTTCTCAATGTGGACTTGCATGTACACAAAATCCAGAGTTATTGTCATACTTAAAATATGTACATATTTGGCAGTAAATCTGTTGCATGTCATGTATTTGGTTCTATTTACATGATCACTAATACACCATTCAAACAGACTACCCGTTTCTTTCATTAAATTTATCCATATTTAAAAGCCTGCTCTGCTGGTCCTTCTGCCAACATTCACTACCACCATACCAATGTGCCATGTGTGCCTTGAGTATTGTCAATCCCTTCCTCTGTACCTGGCTGTCATCCTGAACCGTCTCACAGCCTGATTTTGAGGGGATATCCTTGATGTAAGATGCTCGTAACGTCTTCGTCACAGCACGGGAGAACTCGTAATGGATGACGTCAGAGAATTTGAGCAGAATTCTATTAAAGTTGAGATTACAAACTGGGAAAGGGAGAACCAGGACAAAACTACAAGTAATTCATTTTGCAAATGTGTTTTTGCCACGGCTTTTGTATGTCAGGGAGCAATTAATATGGACTTATGATGACAATTTGTTTGGGTGTTTCAACTGAGACCGCTCCAAGTTACTCCAAGAAATATGACAGAATCTCCTTGATTTGGTGTTAAGGAAATGTGCTGGACTGTAATACTCACAATTGCATTCTCTTGTGTGTAACATATGTGCATGCAGTTTTTCAAGCAACAAAGGGGGCTTTCACGGCTTGCACACTTTATACAATGGAAGGATTGACGATCAAACTTACAAATGGACACAGTTTGTCACAGTATTGCAGACTAGGATTGCGCGGAAGAGCCCAGAAGCACCTTGGTTACAAAGCTAACAATGGCTGATGCTGGTTGTTCCATCTCGTACTCGGCAAACAAATGACACTGGTTGTCCGTCTTGGAGCCCGGCTTGCGGCTGATAAAACCGAAGATCCTGAAGGGAAAGAAAATTTAACAAAAAATGTACATTGATGCAGTGACCAATACCGAAGTACATGTATTAGTGTTTTAGAATGCTCTACCAATAACCTTGAAAAGCTGGATTTAGTGTAGACTGATCCACAGAGATGATGTTCATGTGGTGAAGCCACACACACATCTACGGTGCACACACAAACTGTGAACACCCGATTAATCAGAGAGTCAAGTGTACATACGTGTATAACCTGGGCAGAAGCACGGCACCATAGAAGCAATGCCTTCTAACCGGTCATTTAATTAGTCTACACAACGTGAAGAATCAAGTTTGCACTCTCCTGAAAAAGACTCTGCTCTTATCACTCCACCTTGACTCTGTCCCAAACTTCAGGGCCGAGTTTTCTCCACAGCTCTGAAACAAGCCGTAGTACTAGTACTTACCTAGCTTGCGTCTCATCAACCCCATCTTTCCTTTTCCATCTACAGAAACACACAACGAAAGGTGCAGTGAATTAAAAACCCACGATACACGATCACATGTACCTGCAGCTCTGTTGGTGTCACTTTGTACCAAAAATGTTCCCGTTCTACCGGTACAAAAGGCCATTGACTGTTGTGCATCACCAGTAATTTTGTAAAAGTAACGTCCACCCTTTGCAGTGTTAGAATAATCTGGACAAATCTGCCATTCAAAGCAGCAGCAAACGATAAAGCAAATAATCCAAACAGAAGCAAGGGATAAGTTGAAATATATGAGCCTTACTTTCTTGCACCTGAGTCCATTCCACAGTACAGGACTGACTGAACAGGATAATGTCTACGGAAGAACAACCTACATCAAAGAAAAACAAAAAAACTCTTGCAACTTGCATTTGCAGAGGCAACTTCTTCAACCTACATCTTGTACTTTTGACACTGTTAAACTTCTCAAACATTTTGGCTTGGATCTAATGATTGAATGAAGTTTAAAGTCAGTGGATTTAATGCATTCTTCAAACTGTTCAATCAAACAATTACTGACTTCAGACAGTGTGTCATATTGCCTGTGTGGTGCAATCATTTTGGCCGCAAACGTGTTTCAATTTTTGGAAAAAGGCGGTTTGTACTGTTGCCAGAATTGGGCTTGCTCCATTGTCCACGCAAACACTGCTACAGATGAGAAGAGATAACGTATCACAGCATCAACTGACAATTTTCAGATTTAGCTTAAGTAGGAGATGATGACAACAACTGTGATCAATCGTCGGCTTACTTCCTCTGGTTGTCTGTCAGTGTTATTCCCTTCAGTGACACCTTGAAGTGAACGACGACCCTCTTGGGCTTCTCCTTGAGGTTAATCAATCGATTTGTGGCTTCGCGTACAGCGGAAGGCCCCGTCAAAGACTCCATCTCCATCATTCCAAGGAAGATGACATTACAAGCTGCAAACACAGGAAAGAAATGGGGGAAAACAAAACTTAAAGTGGGCACGACCACTGAAGTTGTACAATACCTTTCTCAGGATTTTTTTATAGTGATGCAGTCTGGCAAAGCATGAGCAGACTGGGAGTTTATGATGAGGAAATGTCACACAACTTCAGCATGAATTATAGTATAATACATTACCAAATCAGAGTATGACAGCTATCTGTTTTATTTATACAACCGAGAGTGGATGACATTCTGCACATGACTGCTCTCAGGACCTTGATTAAGGTCAAGAAAAGCTGAGCACTTGCATCTAATATCATCCCCAATTCCACAAACATCTGTCATCATGGAGTCAAAAACTTGGGGCAGAATTCTCCCCTTCTTTCCTGTCAGCTCTGAGAAGATAAAACAAGCCGGTTCCCCTCAGGATGCCAAGAGACTGGAGTTTCATCTACCCTACCTGCACCCTGAGACAGCAGGGCATGAGCCGACTTAGGGTCAATAGCACTGTCTGTAGCATCCACACCAGACGGATCTGAGATACGGACAAAGACAAATCTTGTGATCACTGCCATATTCCAAACGAGACCTTATACATTGCTTGTGTCTCACAAGCTGTCCTTCATTATTTTGCTTGAGTAGCAATAAATGCACCAAAACTCTACTCGTCTATCGTAGTGATACAAAACCCTTGCCCTGTAAATTTGCCTAAATGCATAAGGTCTATTGATGCCTGTTGTGGTGTGAGCCATAGCATTTTTTACAACATATAGGCACATGGTAACTTGGAGGCTGTCCATAAATTACAAACATACAAAATGCACATTTTTCACATGCTCCTTCCCCCACAGACATGGACTACATGGTGACTCCAACCCCCTTTCCAAGACACTTATAATGGACAGTGTTAAGCAATAATGTTGGTATCAATATCTGACACTAATGATGTGGCAACATGTGGTAAAATATACCTGATTCAGGAAGCAGAAGTTTGCAAGGCAATGCTAGCTGTGTAAGTGTGTGCTGATAAATGAGTGCCGACAGGCTGCCAAAGATTGGCTCATTAGCACAGCCCTTGAGACGAACACCTCGCGGATTAGGCTCGATCAAGAAGTGACGAACAAGCTCACTAGCTGGGTCAGTAGCTAACAGGGAGAACACGCCAAGACAACATTGTAATCTTCAGTTTTACTGCAGCTGAAACTTAATTGTGCTTTGCAAAGGACCATTCTTCAATCTCTACAAATCAAGCACAATGTACTAGAAGCCAAAGGGAATGGTTGTCAACACAACGTATTCAAAGATGTACTTGCATGATATTTTATGTACACTCGCATGACTTACTATCTAAAGATTCCACAAAAAATTGAACTTGGGATTTCCTTGATGAAGACCAAAATATTTAATTCTTAGCCTGACTTGTTTTGCCTTAAATAGTGCTACTGTAAGGACCAACATTTGCTAGTCATACCAGAAAGTGCATGGCCAGTGCCCGGATTAGAACCCACGACCACCGGATCATGAGTCACAAGTTCCCACTTGAAGCCCACTACCCCTCCTCCCACAGAAAAATCCATTATTTCTGTTGAAAATAATGATGTTATGAAGCTTTATAACGTACCTTTTTTGCTTGGTGGAGCATTGGGTGGTAGCTGGGCAACCTTAACGGCAAGACCAAAGGCTCCAGGGAAGGAGTTACTGTCCCTGACCACAAACTGGCCGGGACACTTGTCTTTCAACATTGCAATGGCTACAAAGAAAGAAAATGGACAACTTTTACACACCGGATTTAGGAATTGTCAACTGTTGCGTGAAAAATCCAGATTCATATCATTTAAGAATGGCAAAATTGATCAACCCTTCCACATGAGCATGCTGGTGCGGCACTACAGCTCTGACGTAGCACAATTTAACCATTTCTGCCTCTGGCATGATTCGACATTTACATAAAAAAGTGAATGCCCCAGAGCAAGGTTAAAGTTTTAGCTTGTGAACAGTAATCCTAGAATTTTTGGAAGTTATTTTTTTAGGAAAGCCTGAAAATGAAGTGAGATTGAAGTCTTATTTTAATAGTGTGTACAGTATGTAATTGGGGAAATCTGCACATAATGGCATTGGATGCTTTCCATGGTCAACTCTCCTTGATACAAAGTCTATGGGACTGTTCATTCTATCAGGCTTTCCCATTCACAGTGCACATACTATGTACATACATAAAAAGGGTACGCCCATGGGCCTGTACATTGCATAGGCTCCTACAATCGAGCACCAAACCGATGAAAATCATGCGCAGTAGCACAATTTAGCCAGAATCGAAGAGTTAGATTGGTTTCCAATGCCATTTTGCCTAAACTGAATTAACACCAATGAGAGTCAACAGCAGTATTAAAGCTGGCCGAATTCTCAGAAATACTAACACTAGTAAAAGAAGCTAACCTTCATCTCTGGAGATGTGTGGCTTGTACCACCAAGCAGACAGGTCCTTCACAAACCGTACCTTGTCCATACTCGTATCTACACAAACACATTCAAATTCAGCATACTCATCTCATTGAACTATTTGCAAAGCCTTTGAACTACAAAAAACTTGAGTTAGCTTTTGACAACAAACACAGAACAAGGATAATAATCAGTAAATAAAACTTCATATTGCCTGACATGTAATTGTTACTAACAATAAAACAATCAGTAATGGCTAGTTGAATTTTGACTATGTGTTGGCCATACATGTAATCAGTGGATTTGTATTTGGTCATTGAGCCAGTTCAGTATTCCAGCAGGGCATGCCCAAACTCCAGTGTGTCCAAGGCTGATCTGGAACAGCAGCAGTACACACGATACTCTGTAATATCAGCACAGCCATACATTTTTCCTAGAAGACCGTGTCTTTTTGACATTCTGAACTGGCTCACTGCACAGAAATGTGCTTTGCTTGGATTGGTACAAGTACGTGCAGGAACTGGTGACAATTATTTTTTCTTTGACAGCAAGTAGACACTGACTGCGTGGCACGTGCGTAGAAATGGCTCACTGACTTTACTTTCCCTTCCAAAAACTCTCCTCTGGGGTTGTGGATGAGAATGAAATCATCATTCACTGATAGACTAAATAGCACAGATCTGCCGATTCTGTCTGACATTTCTTCGCGCCGTGCATATAGGAAAGCACTGAATATACCTTACCAGCAAGCGAGACAGAACTTGAATACGGTGATGGCTGCTGCATCAAGTAGAAGTTGGATGGAGTTGTGCGGCCACTGAGTGAAGATCCTCCATTACCATCAGATGCCTTGCGCTGGTGAGTGGGATGTGCTGGCCACATCCCTTCACTAAAAGGAGTCAAAACATAAATTAGAAATCGGGGAATCAGATTGGCAGAGTGGTTCTTTCCTTGCCATGTCTGCGGTCTGGGTTCTATTCCCAGCCCGGTCCACACGTGGATTGGGTTTTCAGTCCCTACCTGATTCCGTGGGTTTTGCCCAGTATATTCTTCTGGGGTTTTCCTCCCACCTCTAAAACTGTAACTGCTTCTCATTTCAAAGTGTGGGTCTTCAAATATATGAAGTTGGTGCATCTCTTGGAAGAAGAAGCAATCACATTCACTTCTACTTACACATCTGTACATTACCAGCTTTAAATGTACCTTCTATGCCAAAGTTTAAGTTGGTTCCTCCCTTGTAAAAAGTGGTAATTATGTCTTTTATATCACAGGAAATGGGCTGAGTAGGGGTATAACTTTGACACAGTGTCAAGGTTGAGGCCTTAACGGCCTTAAGTATTTAAGCTGGAAAATTGTAACAACAGCCAAAGCTGCAGTAAAATGCATACTTTTGTGGCAACAAATGCTTCTGTAATGGGAAAATGCTTCTTCAATGGCCAATTCCAACATAACCTGAGGATTTTGTTGTCAAACCATAATGCTCATTCTCCTCCTTTCAAAAAACAATTCACGTAATTTCTAGCAGACCGACCTGTTTCCTCTGAAATGAGCTGGGCTTGATTTATGTTTCTGTTTCAAAAAGTGTAGCATTTTAAAACAGCATGCCAGGTGCTTTGGTAGGGATCACACAATGACCAATACCAAGGTACTATGATTCCCTTACTTCCAAGAAAGCAATGAGTCTGCAATTCTGTTTGGTACTCTAGCAAATTATGTACTAAAAGTTTCAACTGTACAAGGGCTATGGATCTATCTATCAATCCATCTATCTATGTCACATCCAGTATTGTCATTGAGAAGCATTTGAAATAAACCAATAATGAAGTGTGTACACTGAATGTAAAATCATGTTTTGTTCAATTAACTTTCAGAAATCTTAACTGAAAATTTTTATAGACTTGATCGTTTCCAAGGATATTTTATTGGCATGTTTTAGGGTGATAAAGTTCTCTCAGACATGTACTCCATGTCATTGACAGGGGGCCAGTGGCTCCCAATCCTTCCATTATTGTTCTAGCTGAGCAGCAGGAACCGGCATACATGTACCTGTACTATGTGTATAGACTAATTCGATTAGACGCCATAACTGCGGTGGCACAAGAGTCACACGCACATTCTTTGCCTTGACCCGCGCGTGCATTTGGCAAATCAAGACACCCTATTGGTCGAAGAGGCATGTAACGCGCGCATACCACCTGTCCACGAGCATTGTGCCACCACAATAATGGCTTCTAATTCCGGTGGTTGAATTACAATATACCGTGCAAGTTCTTCAGCCAAATGTGACAGCCACCCAATGCAATTGGAAAATCGTAACATGTGAAGCATAAAGGCCTTCCCAAAAGAAAATCTTGCAAATTTGTTTCTGAGATTTGGCTCAGCCAAATACAGCATACTTATCAAGTACTCTAAACCCTACAAAGACTTCATCCTACCTGCCAGTGGATGCTCGTTTGGCCTTGGCCACTCCCCTGTTATCATACATGGTGTGGTATCCATTGGCAACCTGAGGTGACACCTCCTCCACACGGCCGGCTGCAGCCTTACGGTGCCGGTCGCTGAACGTAGGATACATTGGTCCTGGGGGTCGGTTCTTCATGCGATCGCTATACGTTGGATACAGTGGTGGAGGCGGCTGACTGGCCAAATTCTGTAGCTGGTAGCTGAACTTTGGTTCGGTCTGCTCCTTCTTGATCACTTCCTGCTGCGTGGGTGGTTCTTGTACAAATTGTGTCCTGTTCTGAGAGCTGGGGGAGAGTTGCTGAGGCCTGTTTGGAGGTGTGGCTACACCGCTTTTGACCTGCACCTCACCAACAGCTGGAGATATGCCCTCGTTCTTGATGTGCACCTCAAGTTCAATGGGCCAAACAGGGGCCACCTCGACAGGTTTTTTCACCGTCGGGACTATTTCTTTTTCTTCGACAAGAGCCTGTGGGCCGGTCGGCCTTTCAGGCACACCCCCTCGGGCGTCTTGGAAGGTAACCTCTTTCTTGGGCGACGGGGGGAACACACCTGCCGGGTAGCGCATGCTGACAGGCTTGGCTTTGACACTGGACTCCTGTACGCTTGCGACTGGCACTCGCTCCACTCTGGCCTCCACTGGGTAGTGCTGCCCATTCTGGACAGCCTTCCTCTCCACCTGAGACACGGGGGTGGGAACCCGTTCCACCTTGGCCATGATCGGCTGTTGCACAGTGGCCTCCTTTGCACTGGGACCGGATAGCACCTCGGGTAAACCATTCTGGTCAAATACTCTCTCTGTCTGAACGATTCTCCTCTGGGTGACAGTGATGACTTCGGGGGTAGCCGGAGTGGTGCTCTGAGCGGCATTCATGGTTGGACCCTCGACATTCACGGGACTGGCAGCTTGGGTGGAGGCTTGCTGAGCAGGACTGATATGAAGACCGGTCGTGTCCAAGATGTCCCTGTTGTTGTGTCTGGTAGGAGAGAGGGGGTATGGATCATCTGGTCCTGTGTGAAGAATAAATGCAGTGTAATCAATACAAAAATCTCACACATTAGTGAAGCCTAAATTTGGTAACAGTAACATCTCCAATCATGCCATCTTGTTAAGCTTGTACATTACTCAGACAATGCAAAGAATAACAAAGCTGACAACGAGCACATCCAGCACTCGTGTCCTCGATCCCCCCCTGTCACTCTCTATTTTTTCTTTTACAGGAACATATTGGAAAAAAATATGTCCATAACACCATGCAAGTGTTCGTGTGCACAATGCAGTATCAACACTGATGACATGACTGGCACAGTGGACCTTACAAAGTGCAGTTGTTTGAATACTCTGAAGAATGCTTGATGGGATAATAAGCCTGTGGTGAGCAGCTGTCAAGGATAAGTCCTGGGTGAGCCAGTGTCTAATCCCCTCCCCCCCACACAAAAGCCTCTGCTTACTCACCGTGTGGTGGGCGTACTGTCGCAAGTGGCGTCCATATCATGTTTTTGTAGGCCTTTGGTCCAACCGGAAATTTGGGCGTGACACTGCCATTGGGCAAGCTCTCATTGGACGATTCAATGTCAAATTCTGGTTTGCGTATCCACTGCTCCTTGAGGTTGGGTGTCTTCAGCCCTTCCATCCGGTCCCAATATTCATTTTCCTGTACAAGCAAAGGAAATATAGCATGATGAGCAGCTGCATGTCAACCCATATTATAGCTTACAGCATGCCGTATTTAACAGAGTTCACCTGCAAAAGTTTCAAACAAGTGACATGGATTTACTGCCATTCTCTGAAAGAAAAACTGCGAATATTCAGCGGCAATGTGTTAGCTTGGCAGCCTGTGTCTTTCGTTAACACATGGATTAATGTCATTGAAGTACAGTGTCACACGTTTTTCCTTTTCAAATCATTTGTATTATTTGATGCGAATTCACCATCATACGACATTTTAACCTCATTTTAACGGCATGAGTTCACAAGAATCAACCAAGACATGGATTACTTTAGATCGAAAACTTTTTGAAAAGGCAAGAAGTCCAAAAGCTAAAATACTGACTCTTTAAGTGTCATTTGGGCAATATTTCTTTCCAAAACTTTGTCTTTGGAATATTCCGAGGCTCTTCGTCAAAGTGACATTTGCTCCAATAGGCTGTTTGTAGTGGCCAAGTCTATAAGTGCAAGACATGGTCAGTTTCCAATGTCTTGCCAGACACTGTTATGTGTACAAATCCAATGGGAACCACTGAAGCTTGAGTACGTGTGTTGACGTCACCTGTTTCTGCGAATACAGGCTGGCAAAATGTGGTCACATAATCCTTGTTTTACGTAGCAGAAAATCATCATGTGTTTACACTGTATATGTCCCCCTCCAGCATGAATTGGTTAAATGGCTTTTGGTTTTCAGTGCTTTCCCACAAGCACATGCCTCACAATTACCAAAGCTGATCTGAACTGGTGCCCTAACTGCTGGTCAATAGGAATATACTGCACATCTGACTTACATGATCAGGTAGACCACCTGGATTGTGCAGCCATCGTTCCGGGGATTCCCGTCCAACTCTATTGCTGGGTGGATCATAATACTGATTAATTGCCGAGTCAGAGTCATAGCCAGACTGATACGGGGTACGCCTCGTCACTTGCTTGACTTTGGCAGGTTTGACTCGAGGTCCAGTAGGAGGCTGACTCTTGGGCTGATCGCTCTGCTTACTTGTGATATCTGAAAGGTTGAATGAGATTCTGTAATAAGCGAAGGGTTTACTTTAATCACAGCCCAACAGTTGTGTTGTGTAACAGCAAAACACTATCAACTGCTTATAATTTTAAATTCAATGTGAAACATATTTACAAACATCACTGAGTTCTCCCTTTGCAGAAGTCTCACGGCATAGGCAGCTTTACACTTTGCTTTACACAGTGCAAATAAAGCAGACTTTTAGGGACACAAAAAAAATTACGATTAATTATTAAATCAATTAGATTATGCTTTCTATGAGATACATGTACCACAGACAAGACAACCACCGTATCAGTTACAAATTTCTTATTGGCCGAGCAAGACTTACCCGGTACTGAATGACAGAAGTTTTCAAAATCAAGTACTCACCAGCAATCCTGTTAGCTACTCTTCCCTCATGGTTGAGTGCATCCTCCATGTTAGACTCATCAATATGCAGGTCTACCTTGTAAGCATCACGGACAGGTCCAGAGGCGTTCTGTAGGGGTGCTTGTTGCCTGCGTTGTGTATTGGACTGGTATTTAGCATTGGTGCCAATCCACCCGTTAACTGGGTTAATCTGCCTCAAAGGGCCAGTTAGATCACCAACTCTGTGCACATCAGCCACATGCGTGTTATGTCTAAGGGTCCAAGGCCTGGCTGTTGCAGGGTCTCTGCTTTGGAGGTGAGTAACTTCCGACAGCATGCGAATGGCATCCTCCAGGCCGGCCATTAGGTTAATGTTACCATTGGGATTAGTTTGGCCCATGGATACACCCTCCATCACCCTCGGTGTTACATCACTAGAAGGTTTAGCATTAGACAGGGTGGGGCTATGGTTAGTTTGTCTGGATTGTGCATGTAGGTGCTGCGTAGGGACGGTACCCACGTTGTGGCTTCCCACTGGATGTCCACTGTGCGTCTGTCTTGGAACAGCTCTCTGTTGACTGATGGAGCTGCGTGTTCCTAACCTGTCAGCAGACAGTGCTCGGGGCTCCCTCTGGTCAGCATCATAGTCTTCCCTTCTTAGCCATACATCCTGACTCTGACTGCCACTCCCTCCCTCCAGCTTATGCCAGTATCTATCAAAAGGACGACCACGTACCCTTTCAGCAACTCCTTGCCTTTCAAAACTTCCAGCATTTCTACTGGACTGCCTTACATGTAAATCTAAAGGCTGCTCATTGCTGATCGATCCAGATTTTACACCAGTTACCCATTCGCTGTCTAATTTTTCTTTGCCACTTGACAAAAAATTTGGCCTGTTAAGGGAGGTGTGCCGAAGTGTCTGAATGCGGTCCATGACCCAGTTGTAGGAAGGGGCAGTTTGGACAAGGTGGGTGTCATCTCTAAATGGTGCAGGGTCTGCTTCAAGTGTGATATCCCCATTTGAAACTTGAACACACTGCTTTCTATGCTCAACTTTAGAGTTGGGATCAGGATATTGGGCATATTTTGGCTGAGGTGTTGAGGATGCAAAGTTTGGAAATCCAGTGGTTGAGATTGAACGTAGCCCTGTATTGGGGAGGTGATCATGAGTAAATCTTACACTCCTTGGCAGAGACCCATGAATAGCAAGTTTCTGTGATGGCTGACATGAGCCAAATTCAGAGGGGGTGGTCTTTACCCTATCAAAGGTCAATTTTGCATGAGAAGCAGAATTTGAATCTTGCTTGTGACTGCGCCTACGAGAACAGTGCAGAGGTCCATCTCTTGGCAGAGAGTGGTAAAATGGACCACCAAAAGGGGTGACAGTTCTGCCAAGCTGTGCATCGGATTCAGGAGCCAAAATAGGAGAAGTGAAGTGTGGCACACCAGGGGGCATTGAGGTCTTGGTTTGATGCGTGTTAGAAAGGTTTTTGTCTTGGAAGCTACTGTGTAGGGTCCTCTTGAACATTTGGTTCCTCGGGAGTGACTGAGATCGCACCTGACTTTGGGTTGACTTGGTTGACTTTTGTTTCTGCGAAGACACTCTGAAAGTGTTTGAATGCTGAGCCAAGTCATGCATGGGGGCAGATTGGTTCAAACGGGAGTCGTCTACTGACCTGGGATGTCGGTTTGACTTTTGGCTTCTTGGAATGGAATGATAACGGGACATTCGCGGTGACTGAGAAGGGTGATTTGGGATGGATTGAATAGAAGATGATCGCACAGATGAAGAAGCGACGGCTGAAGTGATTGGGGTGATTTCTACTATTGGTATAGTTTGAGATGGATTGTGGGATGGTAGCACATGTGAAGCAGCAGGAGATTGTGACTCCTTCAGCACAGTTTTAAGTAATCCTCCCCCTTCCATTTGGGAGTTTCCCTTCCCCACTGGCAGCATGGTTTGACCCACAACTGGTTTTCTATAACTGGTCTCATGCCCGCAAGTCTCAGACACTGGCTTTCGCTTTAAGGTGGGACTCCCCCCGACACCTTTTTCCTTCATGAGCCCCAGCAGTCGGCTCTGCAAACCCCCACTTTCGTCCTTCCTAATCTCTTGCATAAATAAAACAGGGAGCTGCTTCACGTCAAATCCTGCTGTTTGTGGGAAGACCTGAATGGTCTTCTTTCGGGTCTGCGTCGAGGTGGTTGTGGTGGTTTCGCTCCCATCGGAGTCAATGATGACTCTCGTGACACTGGCAGACTTGACCGGGTCAGTTCCAGTCACAGTGGAGGAGAGGGAGGAAGCATAGCCCGAGTCCCGTGACAGGCCAGGGGAGGACTCAGCTGGGCCAGTGAGAGCGGGGTGCGACATATTCTGGGTCTCATCCCGTGTCCGGTCGTTGCGGGACCCAGAGAATGGAGTTGGAGAGTGATTGACAAATCTGCTGATTGTTGGGGATGCAGAGGATGGCATGCAGGTCATTCCAACAAGATGATGAATAGAGATATGGAAAACAAAAAGAAAGGATGGACGGACACGCACACGATCAGTAAACATGCATTGTACCGGTATACACCATGAAAAACAGAATTAGACAGAGATAGATCTAGGACTTTTAAAATGCTTCATCAGTGTCATTGTTAAACAGAAAGGATGAAAAATAAATGTAGGGCACCAAGGTGATATTATCGGGGAGAGTGATCGGAGTACTAATCAGAAATATATCTTGTTAATTGTGATCGGTAAAGCATTTTGCCCCCCCCCCCAAAAAAACTTCTCCAATCTCACAGTGAACAACTTTAGTTTCAAACTTGTAAATTTAGTGAAGTTGGGAAATGAAAGGTACATGTAGTGGTTTAATAGAAATGCGATGAAATGCATTTGTAAAGACTTTCACCGCAAAGTGGATTCAAAGAATCATATTCAAGTAAATCAGATTTGTTTCTATGTGATCAGATCCCAGCTGAGCAAACAGCAACCTGTAGGACGTTAACAATCACTTGATATACAAAGAAAGATAGACAAGGACTTTGGGTACATGTACTTGTCCAACATGCAAAATCACATGCTAACAACTCAGAGAGTGCAAATGAACATACATGTAGCAGCATGCTACCACTGCAATACATAACTGCTCCAGCGCACATGTAAATGTAATAATTCTAAAATTTGTGACCCTGGAATCAGTTTGAACTCAATACAGGCATGCAATGAAGAGGTAAACGACCACGAGAAATAGATTTACAATCAATATAAAAATGATAGAAAAATCAATCATAGAACGAAGTGTGCTAGAAGTGACTTGATTTATAAATGACTGAAGAACAACATTTGAAAAAGCAAGTTCATAGAGAGATACCTTGAGAAGCAATACTCGTCTTAAGATACAAATCATTGAGCAATCTGCATGTACCAGTACACGTACTAAACACAAATGACAAATAAAACCAATGCTGTCCAAGTGATTAAACTAATACATGTACATTGTACATGTACATGGACACCAATGTCAGCATGTAAACTTTCAACCTCGTGATTTCAGGGTCGCTTTTCTCCAACTGCTCTTGAAACTTAAAAGGGCTTGTTCTTGTAACAGCCACTGCTATCTATTACTGTGATAGTGCAAGATATTTAGAGCAACATGGAAAGGAAGTTCAAGGATAAAAAATGTCACTGTTGCATTAGAATTGCCTGTCATTTAACAAGAAGTAGTGGCAAAATGGGAAGAGGTAGGTATCCCTAAGCACCGCCCCTAAAAATGACAGACCACTCTCAAAATGGACCTCAACTGACAAAACATCTACACTGCAGTGGTCACGGGTACTATGGAACCCCAGTCTTACCCAGCACTGTCCTTGGGAGTAGTTGAGTGTGGTCCTGCTGGTGGTAGTGACGTTACACCGTGCGTCGGAGCCTGCGGAGCGCGCTCCATATCCAGGCGCTGCCTGACGACAACCTGCTGCTCCCGGTCATAGGTTATATCTGAGGTCTGTCTGTTGAGAGGTCGTCGGTGCGCCTGCCATGCCTCGGCGTGTGGGCCGCTGTCATGCTCGTAGGTGTTGGGCGGTGTGAGGGGGCCAGGATCTGCAGTAGCTTTGGGTGAGAACTGCTCGTTGGTAGACTTCTCCAGGTCTGTTAACTGAGGTCGAGGCAATGGGCCGTTGGCAGCACTGCTGGTGCTAACACCTTCACACAGTGCAAATACAACTTGGTAACAGTACAGCAATAGTAATAAATAATAGTGTACAACAACTACTATACAAACTTTGAAGTGTAACAAAGTGCGCCATGTTCTATCTGGGGTGTGAGTGGAAAATAAAAGAAATTCATTTAGCTGAAAATAGATGAAATCACAAGCGCGAAACATATACAGCGTGGGAAATTTTTGAAATGCAGATGGTCTGTGATGCATTTATGCATTTTACAGCCTCCTGGTGCAAAATTGATCTATTTTTTTTCTTGGAATTTAGCCTATACATATTTCTAATTTATTTTTTCTTCATATTTGTCTGAAATTCCTGAAGAGGTTAAAATGCATGGAAAGTGTTACATATATGGACAAAACTAATTTTCCCTTGAAATATTATAACAGCCAACAGAAAGTGAAAACTTATCCTAAAAATGAAAAAAATAGCTGAGAAAAATCTGAAGCATTTAATAAGAGAACTTTTTTCAGAAGTCTCATATCCGGTGGGTTTGTGCAGAGGCACGAAGTGTTGTCTGTATATGGAACTCTTTCCAAATAAACTAGTAATAGGCATACTGAAATTGTAAATATCGAGGTTTGTAGAGTGAGTTGGCCCTCTTTCCATCTGATCCGAGCAAAATTTCAGTTCTTGAAAGAATACATATCGCGTCGCACACGTACACTGCTTGTCCAGGCTTTTGGATTTTCCGGGTGCGGACCGTGTTGCCTGCCAGTCACATCTACGGTGCATTCCATTCACGTCGATTTCCGCAGATTCATAACTTGAGGATGAGTCTTATCAAAGGCTGTATCCAAGTCAGAACCTCTTAGGACAATTGTACATACATGTATGTGTGCACTGACATTTTGATGAGGTTTATGTCCCAAAATTGTTTGAAAGCCCGTACAAAACGAAGCAAAACCGCACAAGAATGCGTGACACAAGAAGAACTTTGTGCGCCCCGCACCAGTTGTCATTAAGCCCTCTATAAGCAAAAGCAAAAATGTACTTATCTTACTACAAGCCGCAAATTAACAATGAAATGTATGCTACCACAAGTTATAGTGGAGGTTGTTAGTCACTACTGACACGTACATGAATATTGATATTTCTGTGACAGCCAATCACAGCACAATGACCGGATGGTCTGAGGATGCTGTTTACACACAAGGCTTGCTCCGCGCCGAATATATGCTCACACAGATTAGTATACACTGTATTCACGTATGGGACATGTGCGTGCACGTACAGTGTACATGTACAGTAGATTCAATCATGTGCATTACGGCACTCAGGTACTGTTTGGTGTCAGATCCCCATGCAAAGTTTGGCCTCGCTATCATGTATGATAGGAAAAGAAAAAAAAAAACCAGAAAAATCGGCACTTGCAACAGGAACAAAAATGAGAAAATCTGGCCTGTCGATAGCAAAAAAGCAGAAAATCAAATTCGGCTTTTTCAACAAAAAAGTGGAAATACGCTAAAAAGTGGAGATTTCACGTCCCTGGTTCCCGATAGCACAAATGTATACACGGCAAGATACAGCATGGAGGGGTGCCCCCCTTACATGTCCACACCTATGGATACCCTTAGACTCTTGACACATCCCCCATTTGATGTCTGAAAAGAATTCCTGAAATTCAGGTCAAACAATGACCGACACAAAAGGGGAGGAGTTCTCTCTGTCCCATATTGTGCTTCAAATGTAAAAATATGGCACAGGTGCATTTCAAACAGTTTAAACATCTTCGATGAAAACAAGCTCACCTTCTATGACAGATGTTTGCTTACAATTTTATAGCAATCATAACCCAACCATCTCCTTAAAAATGTCTAGTTTTCTTTGACCACTGTGAAACTTTCTGAAGTACGCATTTAACTTACCCTAAAAAGCCCAAGTTTTGAATTTCTGACGTTAATCTTGATGAGTACTAATGCAATGATATGCCTACCATTAATCATAGATAGTTATTAATATCAACTCCTTATCCCTATTCAGAACTGTACAAGAATTAAGGATGCATTCTTCGTCACTAACATGATATGGACTTCAAGCCCTATCTGTGAAGAATAAGAGGACAAAAGAAGAAGATTAAGAATAATAAAGACAATCCCCTGAAAACTCCCAATGGAATTTGCGGGATTAGGGAGGGTTACACACTTGCTTCATTTGATAATCAGTCATGCCCATTCAGGGAGACACATTACTACAAATGCAATAATCACCTGAGAAGTCAGTCCTTGGTGGGGAGAATGATGAGCCATAGGATGATCCTGGATGAGATGTGTCAATAAATAAAGGCTTGGGGGATGGATCCATCTGTCCTCTCCTCATCTGCAACTCCCTTTGTTTCTCTTCTAGCCAGCTAAGGTTGTCCGTAGGCATCTGCTCCCTCGGGGCCTGAACCTGGGGCTGTACTACAGCCTGTGGGGCTTTCTCGAAGACAGGTTCTTGTCTGGGTTCCGGGGCCTTGGGGAGTTCCCTTTTAGGGGTCTGGTAGGTGGGCTGAGTGACAGCCTCTTCTCGTAGACGTTTCTCTTTGAGCTTCTGTTGTTGCCGCTGAAGCCACGTCATTGCATCATCCCCGATTTCTGACGATGTTCGATTGCTGCCCGTGGGTGTTTTGGTCATATCACTGCCTTCCGGGAGCTTGACTGCATTATCCCCAGGGGAGGGAGATGCAGCCGGTCCAAGCGGAGATGTCGGATCCTCCTGGTATATGTACATGAGCTGCTCCTTCTTGGCTCTGAGTGGCTGTGGCTGCCAAATGTCTGAATGCTTGGCGCTGGAGGGGTAGCCTGGAGAAGTGTTCAGTTGCTGTCCAGGGGTCATGCCATGTCCAAGGTCTGCAACATCATGTGGCCTACTGTCAGGTGTGTATTGCTTACTTTCCTTCGTCACGGCATAGGTTGGGTTGTCATGCAACTGTGCAGTCCTGTGCACTTGTACATCAGGTATTCTGGAGCTTTCAACTTCTCCAACCTGACTGCGGGTGATTTTCTCCTCCAGAGGATCTTGCTTTCTCACTTGGCCGTGCAACTGGTCCTGTTTGGGTACTGCATCACTAATTTCAGCATAGGGGTTTTCAAGCTCTCCTTGCACACCGTGACTCTGGGGATGGTGGACCCTGGCGGTTGGAGAATGTCGCGACTCCAGAGGAGGAAGATGTGACATCTGAGCTTGAACATCTACAATCTTCCTTTTCTCTCCAACCTAAACGTACCAAGCAACAATGAAGAATAAAGTATGGTCATGTAACTTAACTGCCACTTTACAGAAAATGAAATTTATCCCCCCTCCCTAAAAAGTGACCATGGTGACAGAGATAAATGACACTGACACCGTGTGCCCAGGGCCCACATGTAGGCATTGTATTTGTGCACATTCAGACAAAACTGGTCATATGTACTCGGTGTCAAATGCACCTCAGTGCAGACAAGCACCAGGTGCTGCACACTTCACTCTAAAACACCACATCGAGAAGACTAGATGGCACCATTCGCTAATCCAGCAAGGAATCAGTAAAATCTTTTGTAGAGGGAAATGCGTGTGATAGTCAGACCTGTTTTGAGGGCTCTTAGGACTAGTTTCTATTCTTCAGATTATCACAGTTTTGTCAAAATAACGTCTACATAACTGAGCTAAAGTACCGTAGCTACAAATCATGATCCAGAAGACAGCAACCTGTGTAATGCAAAAACCACCCAGTTGCCTCTTGCCAACAATCATTTTCACCCATGAATGAGTTGTAAGGGTTAAGGGTTAAAAGTACATTTAATAAGTAGTGGAATGGCCTCCTTCATTTGCTGTTTTATCATATGATTGATCATTACAGAATAAGTAAGGCTACTTCTGTACCTCTCCTGATCCAATGCTATCAGGACTGCTAAGGGCTGGTACGTCCTCTCCTATACCCCGTAACAAATCATCAAGATCTCTCTTCTCCTTGTAATTCATCTCCCTCCGCTGCGCAGCCAAAGTTTTGGAAGACTCTGGTCCGTTGGACAGCTCCACGTTGTTGGGTTGCTGGGGCCCGTTTGCAAACTGAACAGAGGGGGTCGGGGGCTGGATGGGGCTCGGAGGGTCACTAGTCGGAGTACGCGGGCTGGGGGTCCGCCGTTTGATGGTCTGGTAGCTAGGATCCATCTGGGCGTTCATCTTTGCCCGCAAGACAGCCAGCTGGGTGGTCTGCATGGAGCTGCGTGGGCCGGTATCAAAGTCCAGGGCATTGGGTATCACGGGCAGCAGTTGGTTTGATCCCACAGGCGAAGTTGGGCCAGACGAACTGGGGCTGGTGAAGAACAGCTTTTCTTGCTGTATGGGACTGGGTGTCTTCTGGACTTCGGCATACAGGCTGCCGTCAGGAGCTGAACTATGGGGGATGTTGTTGTTCATACTGACTGATAAATCAATCACCTCAGGGGTATAGTCTGGCAAAACAAATCAAAACAAAATTAAACATTATAAACTACTGAGGAAGAGTCATTGGGTTAACCCTCAAAGAGCCAGGTGGAGGGCAGACTCCATCCCCCCAAAACTCTGCTGTGCCATGCTCAATTTTTTTTTTTAACTTGGCATGTATATACAGAAACACGTCATCATTACAAATGTGAAAGTTAAACCCAATCGGACATACGATTTGGTCGCTACAGTCATTTGAAGTTTGAGACTACAATGTGCACGTGTGCCAGCCCGCGTGCATGCAGCACTGCAGTGGAAAAGTATACATTTTTTTGCTGACCTGTCTCAGAAAAAAAGGCGCTCCACAAAAATGGGAAGTTCAAATTTCCCAAAATTAGTATCCAATGACTGGAAAGAGTTACTCCAAAAACTCTTACATGCTCAGCTCCTGAAAAAAATGCACTGCCGCAATATTGGAAAACAAGTCGAGGGGAATACATCCCCCAACTCTTTTGGGGTTAAATTAGTCACCAAAGTACTTAATAGACATCATCAGCTTTTTCCGTTATTTATCAAGCTCACAAGCTGCCCAGCATAGACCATCCATTTTTTTCACTTTACAATAAACTACACTTATAGTGATAAACAACTATAGTGTTATTAGAAACTGGGACTGGTCTGACGTAGGGCACTTGCGAAGAGAATCTTCTAAAAGAAACTTACCTCCTCCTTCTACGGTTTTGTCAAAGTTCTCGTAAGAGTCCCAGCGGATCAACGGATCATTCCTTTCATCCACTGGAAAGTTGTTCCCAGGTACATAGTCACTTCCATGAAGTTGGTCAGGCGTGTGGGAAAATATAAACTCCACCTTGGTGAAGTCAGGGAACCGAGCATCTGATGGAGAAAAACCCCAAAAGATGCCATGTGAGTCAGTATGTATAAGTCACTGCTTTACTGCTGCGGCATTTTACAGGACAAAAATAACTGACATGATTAATGACTCACCAGTGCATGCATCGTCCAAGTCACTCTTCTGGAAGACAAGCCGGCATTCCATGATGGCCGTTGTGTGGAACTGGCAACGGAAGACCACGTCGCGTGTGGTGGCGCGGAATTTCTTGTGGTAACATTTGACCAGTATGTCGCCCCTGATGGGCAGAGCCTGGTCTAAACTGACAGCAAACCGGCTAGTTCCCTCTGGCACCGAGCTGTAACAGAGGGAGCAGAGGGCATTTACAAGTAGACTAGGGTTCATAGCAGATATGTACATGTAAGCATTAAAGGCCTACAAAAGAAAAACACAAACTCTGTTTATCACACTTCAAAGGCAGTTGATACTCAGCACTAAAGAGAAAAAAAAAAACACTCGCATGAATTTAATGTCACAAAGCACCAGCGGCAAAACTCATGACTCAGTTGAAATTGGTTGAACTACAGCAAGTGCAAAGCACAACCATTAGCTGACATTTGAAAATGGCATTTACCTTCTCTTTAATACCAATTACCAGTCATCCATCAAACTACATGTATTTCTTTGTTTGCTTTAATAACTTCAGCATGTCTTCATAATACAAAAAAACAAACAACTATTCATAAGATGTAATTTTTGCATCACGGAGATGTTAAGTCTACATTAAATGCTTTTGCTTTTCCCTTACGTATATTTATACTCACTTTATACAATAGACTACATGTATGTACTTTATAGACCAAGGACTATAAATGTAATGTTTGCTTGACAGAAGTACGTGTACATTCTTCATAAAAGTGAGCATTTCATCAATATGGCCACCAACAATATCGTCTTGTTTTTGACATTTCTGAAACCCCTGCAAACATCAAGCACCAACTTGGATACACCGTAGTCGCCGTAGAAAAATACTCACTAAACTCCCGATGTGAAGATTGGCTGCATTCCTTGGTATACTCTCAGGAAGGGTCTACAGCCTAGACCAAAAAAAAGCAAGCAGGTGGCCAAAAAAGTCACAGCAAGTTCAAAGAAAACTACACTGTACAGCAACTACAGTACAAGGGCAAAACCACATAAGATAACTAACAGCATGATGACCCTGATACTAAGGCCATGTCCGAAACGGGCTTCCAGAGCTACGGCTAGGTCTATTGCCTACGTGTTTCCATGCATTTCCAATGGAGTGAAGACCTAGACCTAGCTCTAGACAAGAGATTCGGATGCAACCTACGTTCGTAGCTTAAAGAATCTGCATCTGTTGTTGGGGGAAGGTAAATTGACCCCTCCCAGTCTGCACAGGGTTAATACACAACACAATGTCAAGATCTAATCAGGTATCCATAAACATGTACCGTATGTCTACAACAGCAACCATCAACAAAGAACAGGTGATGATGACTGTGTTCTTCGTGCATGTGATGTCGATAATTTGGCTCTTAAAAATATAGTTCTGTCTACCTTTCTGACCTACCTCCATTGATGTCATAGTTGGGCACACCATGAATCAGCACATGATGCAGGAAGAGCGGGGCGCTATTGACCTGTATCGACTTGGTGAGGAGGCCAGTGAAGTAGTTGACATAGCGGTGCTGGGAGGGATGCATGGCAGACTCTGTCTTGGCCTCCATAAAACGCTTCATGGCATACCGATCCATTGCTGTCTCTAGACTGAAGGTAAGAGAACAATTTCATTCCCCATGCCATCTACATGTAACTGCACAGGGCTTTTCATGAAATATAGTCAACAATTGTTGACAGCAGGGCGCTATTTTAAATCCAAGGGATACATGGACAGTTGGACACCAAGGAGAAGCTCAGGGCGCAATTTACCTTTGAGTAAAACACAACTCAAACATCACAGCAATGGTCAATAATTGTTTTGTTACATCTTGTCATTAACAGTTTGTTACTGAACACTGAAAGATTAAATCATTATCAATGCTGTGAAAATGCTCTGTCCTGGGTAAAAATGATGTGTAAGATAGCATTTGCATGTTCTTTATATATTATGTTCGTTTCTACAAACCTGCCTAATGACCAATCAAAGCCAAGAAAATTGCAGCATCCATGGCACAATATACATGTGACACTCAACTTTCGTGACATTTTTCAAGCAAGTCATTGAAGTAACTTGCCAAATTTTCTAGTGCAAAAATGAAGACAGCCTTATTTCTATTGTAATGTAAACAACAGCAAAGCAGATTAATAAAAGACTACATTTTCACAGACTTACTTTGAGGTGATATTGATGTAGTTCATGTAAGCCAACACCACCACTCCAATGGGACCTCTCCCTCCCTGTAAGGGACCACATTGATTGTCACGGTTACCTGATTGTAGTCAGGGTCTGCCTGTGCTATGTAATGCCGTTATTTGTGATTAAAAGGTGACAGCTGACAAGTTTTGAGTTGAACAAATAAAGTAGCATTCAAATCAAAAGTACAGGTACATGTACTGGGAAGATTGCCCACATGAGACCAAACACCCCTCATTTCATAAGGTTGAGGGGCTGATAGGGTATTCCAAGGCAAATTTTGTTGCGCTGCCAATAGTAGTAAAAGGAAAACCGTACTATGTCAAAAATTGCACATACCTTTAACAATCTGAACATCTAACAGCTAAGCCACTGAAATTTTAACTGTTTGGATCTTTGACTATTTTCCATCGTAACAGTGTCAGAAATGTGAAATGTATCTCATCTTCGACCCACTCCAATGTTTTTTAGGCTTTTGAACAAATAAAACATTTTTATCATGCTCAAATTCGTGTGAAGATACAAGTATGCCATGTACCTTGCAATGGAGTACTACTATGTTGTGAGGGTCAGCTTTTAACCATGTCTCAATGTGCTTGCAGATGCTACAAAGCTTCTCCAGTGATGGAGCCAAGTGGTCCGGCCAGCCAAGATCATACACCTTGGGATAAATGAATCACAAGTTACTAAAATGGTCATGCAATACTGCTAAACGAGGCATACAGATTAAAATTATACATAGACTTGCATGCATCTAAAATTCTAAAATACGGATACAGCATTGTTGAACCATAGTCCACCTGCATGTACCTGTACATGCATACATATGAAGTTGATTACCCAACTGTAAAACCTCTGGGGGCATTCTACAGATCTGGACAAACTGAACCTAGCGAGTTGTTGAGAGATATGTGAGTATTCAAGGATGCATCACTGAGTCTGTTGGGTTTTCAGATTTACTAATAATAATCATATTAATCACTAAAGTGCATGTTTCTTTTTCTCGCACAAAAGGAAGTCCATTTCACCAACATCTTTCAGCAAGTGTGACCAGATGAACTCATCGAGATGGTCCTGGTGAAAAGGTGGCTCACAAACCTGAGGATTGAGTTGGTTGATGTCGTGCCGTCTCTGGGACAAGTTGAAGACAACATATTTGTCCTGGTGCTTGCTTCTCAGCATTCTCACTACATCCCGCAGATTGCTGCGATACTGGGCCTCCAATCCACCCGCTGGAAAAGACACAGCTGATGGGGGAAATACATGTAAGCACCCTCATTGAGCCTACTTGCTTTAGATCAAAAAGACAGATAGATTCCCACTCCTGATGCCAAGATAATTTTCTTTGACAAGACGCACCCCCCTCAACAAAGAAGAGATAGGCTTCTGGGAAAAACTTTGCACCTGCAAAGAATGTACATTTCCAAAGAAAATGGTAGCGCATTACTCGGTACATTTCACATCAAACTTGCTTGAAGCTTTGTAAGCACACAGTGTTTTCGTGGAAGGACATCACTGCTACTTATACATATTTACCTATCAGCCTTTCTGTGATGTAATCCACATCCAGATCAAATGAATACCTGATATAGGCATCCCCGCCACTACACAGTGAAAAAGAATGAAGCATATGAGTTTGCTTCAAACAAACAAACAAACACGGAACAGACCCACGGTATGTTCAAAATTATTTGATTAAATATGATCAATTCTTCAGAGAAACGAGGATAAGCAGGCAGGGACTCAATGGTATGGATCATGGACTTGCTTGAGAACAAATTTTATAAGCACATATATGCTGAGCATTTATTAGCCGGGAGCCAATCACAGGTACACGTACCAGTAACAAGCTCTCATCTATCGGGGTAGCAAATATTGCACAATTTGTAGGCATCTAAAAAAATACCGGTACAGTTGTACTGGAAGATGCTCAAGCACTCATTGGCCCGAATCAGGTCCCCAGGAGGATAAGATCACAGCATGCACAAGTTTGCATTTGATTACCTGGGGTGCTTTGCCACCTCTGCGTGCACGTGAGCCGTCATTTTGTTCCTATTACTGTCTAAGGGTGGGCTGCTCTGTATCATAAAAATTAAATCGCAAGAAAATTGATATGAAAAGTGGATACATGTGCATATATACAGTAGAAGTCCATGTACATTAAGAACAGCTGTTTGATTTTGCATAAGATATTCTTTGTAAAAAGAAATATTATTTGTCAAATTGTAAAAGTGCTTCAACCCCAGAGTTGGTGATATCCTTCCGACTCATCATATACGTTTAAAATAAACAGAAATGAGAGTAATGATTTTGCATAAATCAGCATGAACAGAGCTTACCCACCATCCACCATATGTTATATTATACTCATATGTTCCAAAACCTCAAACGCTCCTCAATACATATTCAAATTAACGCCAGAGTTGTTCTGTTCGTGATCGCAACAACTGATTCAACATCTGTGCAAGGCAATCTGGAAAAATCTTTCGACAACACTGAAATGCCAAGGTGAATAATGATATTTGCCTCCCAATCATATTTCTCAACACATGGTATATGAAATCTATATCACTCTATCCATACAGACGAAGAGTTCTGCCTCAATATCAAACACACAGGTTCTACATGTGTACACTGCTGGGCAACATCATAGACACAACCATGTGTATGTTCTTACAAATCCCCCCCCCCAAGTTACTGCTTAGCTTACAAAGTTTTAAGTGGTCTGGTGCAAGTTTTCACCTCCATGATTCAGCTACCTGTATTAAATGTTAAGTAGTTCCATTTTGATTGCTGCGGTGCACACCTCTAATATGAATGCAGTTTGGCATTGCACATGTATACCAGAGTGCATACAATGGACATCTACATTGATACCTGTCCATGTTTTAATACTGGGGCTAATTCATACCATAAATAAAAAAGTTGAGGTTTCAAAAAGAAATGTCTTTTCGCCAATTCAGTGCTAACAATTTAAAACTCTTGGAGCATTTGTATACTTAGCACTGACATCAACATTAGAGGGATCCCAGGGATGTTTTGAAGCATTTTGCTTTGGAACTGTAGCTTTGCTTTAATTGGTCAAATCAACTACACTCAGACTGGACATTGTTTAGACTTCTCTAGCCCTTCGTAGCGTGCAGTATATCCCTCACTTTACTTAGTGCGGTGCCATGGCATGCACAAAAAATGTGGAATTTCTCAACATGTTTGTTGAGTGAAGCAGTCTACGGTAACCTCCATGAATGTACAGTATGTACACGTCATTAATGGATACACCGGTAGCCTCAGGAAGTTGTTGATCAATGTCCAGTACAAAGGAGGAACTAATGTTGCCAATCGTTCTTCCTCTGAGTAAATAAATGACTACTTAGGGAAATACTTTCAAAATCTTGGGAAATGCCACGTAGAACACTCAACTGACTGTGAACCCAGATTACTTGTGAAGAATTTTGTAAACACCTTTCTTTTTTTAAATTGTTTATTTTTTCTTTTACATGTAACTCTTTTGTCACGTAGAGTAAACTGTACCTATGCTTTTTTCTCTTATAGAATGTTTTTTAAATAGAAAATAGTATGAAAACACATGCTGCCTTCAACTTATAAAAGTATGACACAAGAGAACAGATGAAAACATTGCTATTAAAGCAAGCTTTTAAAAATCATCATCATAGTTTTGAGTCTTGAAAGTTACAAAAAAGAGAAACCACCCTAAATTTTTGTTGAAAATTGGACTTCAAGGAGAGGTTGGATAGATGTGTAACAGCTACATACACTGGTCCTTACTGCAGCCTCACTCTCAAGAAACAAATCATGAAGCATGAAGCCAGAAATGGCAGTACAGGGCCTTTAACTCAAGCCAGACAGGAAACAATGTAAAAGAAAGTATATTTTGACAAACCACTGAATAAGGAAGTCCTGCATTCCACTTTGCTACAAATCTTGACGGGCTGTTTCACACCGATACATGTACTGGGGAAGTTTTTACATGTACATTGTAATTTATAGGCCTAAGGTATGGATAGGTCTTATTGGCCACACAAAAGTCTTTGAACCGACATGAACTGTAACAATAAAAGAATACTGAACTTACAAATTTCAGTTGAGTTTGTTGCGGTCTGGTGTCACCGTTGCTGGGCTGCAATCAAGAGAAAATATTCACCATCAAGTGAGAAATAATGTGACTTCAGTCAGAAAAGTCAGAAATTCAAACATGTACCGGTGTATATCTAGTAAATGAGTATGGACCAACACACTATCACTTCAGAATGATTGGAACATGGGTTTGCACTGAAGTTTTGTTGTGGTACTGGTGCATTCACTGAAAAAGGGATTACCCATACATGTAGGTACGGCACATAGAGATCACTGCCAGTGCACAAACAAGCAGATGTATCTTAAAAATCTTTTATTGAGACTTTTGCTGAGGCCCAGTGGGGAGTCATAAATTGTTGTATTCCCCAGAATGTCTGATTTATGGCCAATGTGTTGACCCATGGGTTTGGTCTGAGTTGTTCCCGTGCATTTCAAAACAGAACATACATGAACCACAGGACAGTGCAAAGTCGGAAGGGCGTTTTTCTTACTAAAGTGTGTTACATTTATGCAATCAACTTGCCAGTGTTAGCATTGTTATTGAGAAAATGTCTGCCTCATGCGTAATTCATGTTAAATGAATAAATGTAACATTGGATGGAGATCTGTTCTCAGGTTTTTGAGATGCCTTGAAACAGTTGTCAACATGATCATTTGTGATGAGCAAAATGAGTCCTTCGTTGAATGTACACTTTTAAAAAGTCTCAGATTTAAATTTCCAAAATTAAATCTCTTCATGTTTCAACTTCCGTTGGGATTTTCATAGAAATGACATTGACACTGTATACCTTTCAAAGAATTGAAATTCAATGAATTGGCCTGGGTCAACAGGCAAACTAAACAGAATTTTGATTGATCACATTACATTTTCTGTGAGAAAAAAAAATTTGAAACTCTGGATAACATTTGTGCAGAATTTCCTGGAATTAGTGTCTTTTATTTAAAGCTGAGAAAAAGGATCATGTAACCAAAAATACAATTTCTGAAAACTGGGTAGTCCTCTTTTGGCATCTTTCCAGCAAAACACAGCAGGAAGGCTTGAACAATCAGACACAAGCCAACTCGCATGAAAGCAGACACTAATTGGATGGCCTTTGACAGTGTTAGGCAGGATGCTGCCAGCCAAAGTTTGGACTGCTGTGACTTTGCCCGTTTCAGGTGCAGATATTGTCTTACACCAAAGGCTGATGAACTTCTGTTGGAGATTGGTTTTCGTTTTTTTTTCTTTTCTTTTTAAGGCTTCGCATCTGCATGGAAAAAACAGGTTTGTTTTACTGCTAGCATTTCTGGGTCAAACAAGCCACAAGTGTAAATCAAACAGAACAATTTTTGAGGGTTTTTTTGGTTTGTTTTTTTAATCTTTTTAAGGTTTCGTAACTACGTGGAAACCAAAGATTTTTTCCTGCTCGAATTTTGGGCCCAAAACCCCACAAATCCAACAGAAAAATGTTGTTTCTTTTTTTGTCATTCCCTAGATATGACGTAAATAAGACTGGGTTTGCTGGGCTCCAGTTATGTGTTTGAAAGACCTTGAGCATAATCTAGGGGATGAAGGGGACATGTTGAAAATTCAGGGATTAAAAAAAGAAGGAACACCCCACTCATTCACTGTTACCAAGTTCAATGTGGGGGTTTTCCTGAAGTCTCGGTATGTCATTTTCAGCTCAATCTTGAGCCACTGACTCTGTAGTGATCTTTGCTGAAGTTTCAGTATGTTCTTTCCACAAGAACATAAAGTTTAAAGAAATCTGTGGCCAGGGACTAAAGTAGGCCAAAAAGTAGTCACACAAAATGGACTTGCACAATGAAAACACACGACCACATTCACACCATGAAATGTCATAGATACAAAAACCCAGAGTGAAAACACACCATTCAGGATTTTGTTACACGAACTCAGGCTTTGTCGATTTTTAAGACATTTTGTCTGACCCCCATCTGCCGACACTTGGGTCAGACAAATACATGCATTTGAAGTGGTTGGAAACTATCCAACATCTCACTATCACTTAACACTGTGGGAAACTAAGCTTTAAGAAATGTGCCCACAGTCTCAACATTGATTTCCACAACAGAAGAAAAGTTCTTTACTCGAATGGGTACACTGCATGCACATAATGTTATTAAACCTCCAGATTGGGCCAAAGATGTCCCAAATGTACATGTAGTTTTGACAGTCATATCTGGTGAGCATGAAATGATGACAAGCCATTGGCGATGAGTTGACAGGGGTCATACCCCAAACCAAACCGCATCAATTATTCATCCCTATCAAGGATCTGGAACCACTTGGGATGAGAAAGTTACTGCACTGTCAGCTACCAGTCTCAGCAGTGGTGACTCAATCACAACTAAAGTACATGGTAGTGATGTACATGTACATGTTAGGCTGCATCAGAGTGGTTTGCTCAGGTTAACACAAGTGCACTCCTGAGCGCACAAATGGCAGGAGTATGACCTCACGGGTGAGCAAGAGCATTCCCTTGATTAGGCCGGGAGTGGAACGATGCGTCCCCCGTCTATTTACTTGATTGTTTGTGAAATTATGTGATCCAAGAGTGAGGCGCACATAGTGTTTTACCACACCCCAAAGCATCAAGAGTAGCACATACATGTACATGTACTAGTACAATGCAACTGTAAGGTTTATGAACTTTTGACTTTGGGAGTTACGTGTAGTTAACTATAAAGTGGACAACTCTGAGAAATGTGCAAGGATTTAGCACCGGATGAAAAGGTACCGAGGTTCTGGACAGCACATCTTTCTTTCAGGAAGAAACTGCTGTTTTGTTTGACAAATGATTTTTTTTTTTGCTCTTTTTCTAGGCACGGAACCCCCTACTTTACCTCTGGCATCAAAAACAGTCCATACGTATTCCACATCATGGCATGAATGTCCTCCATGGTCTATAAGATGGTGTGTATTGATCTCTTGCCCAATACATGTACATGTTTCACTGTTGCGCATCCAATACTATCTGGTTATAATGTACCTCTGGCGTCAGTGTCTAATTCAGATGATACAACGCCTTCTGTTACTTTACTCTGCTTGACGGTAAACTCATTAAGCGACTCCAGCTTGCAGAATCTGAACACGCAACGCATCTTCATCCTATGAAGCAACCTCAATCCCTCATCACATAAAGCAGATACTGAACACAGATGCACAACACGTTAAGTATGTTTCAAATGCTTTCGCATTTTTAGGTATGTTTCAGTTGCACTTTTGGTTAACTCAAAGCACAAGCCTTATACGGACTGGTATGTTCCTGTACTGTTGAAGCCTTAACATGCATGTGGCAAGCACAAATTTACAAGGTAAAAAACTTTGATGTATTATTGTGAGGAAAAAGCCACTTAGAAACTCTACAAAAACTTTGGTCTCTGCCTGTCAAAATGGTCCGGTAAACTTTGACAGTCTCAAGAAAGTATGTTGCTTGAGGCTGCTTGTAATGCAATACAGGAATACCCTGAAAATTCCACAGACCAGATGTTGCCATCCGTCATTCCCAAAATACCTTTGTATGCTGATCCGATTTAGTATCGGTTATGATCAAGTCTTGAGAGATGAATCACCACTCCATGAACAATTACTGTAGAGTACTTTAAGACATCATCTGTTGAAATACATTTCTGGACTGTTGTGATGTGTGACATGGCTTTTTTTAACCTGAGAGATGAGTAGAAATAAGCCAAGCCAAGACAAATGCCAGCAAGTGAAAAATGATATAACAATAACTAAGTGTAATCTTTTAACTGCTTTAGCAAACAAGGACATTGAGAGGTTACATTGCTCAGCCATACCCAACCCGTTCAGTTTGTGTGGCAGAGGGTTTATTTATAGTTTTCAGGTAATGGAAAAAAAAGTTTATTTAAATACTTCTTTACAAGATTTTTGCTGAAGTTTTTTTTTCTCAGAGATGTGGATATGGAGCAATGGGAAAATTGAATCTGTAGCTAGATGTCTAAAAGATCTACTGTAATCAAGACACAGTCAAGATACAGGTATGTAGCACCAACACAGCATGAGAGCCTGTTAGTTAATGAAGTAGATATACACCTCTCAACACATGTGCAAGCTTCACAATTATCAAGTACATATTTAACAAACAGCACTGTGTCCTGCATCATGCATGTGCCTAATTCCACATCACCATATTCATTTTGAAAGGGGTTTCGGCTCCTCTGGACAGCTGGGACCCATGCTGGCATGTACCTGGCTCCCCAAGTTCTCGATTAAAAATCCTCAAACTGCTCAGGGTCGTGAAGCAGACATCATGCAAGGGAGACACAGGCTGCAGAAAAGCAGCCAGTGACAAGTGGCAAGGCTGGCTCCCAGACAGTCTTCGCACCGTGACTTTGGGAGAGTAAGGCCAGATACAAATCACATCCTCGGGGAAATCAATATGGAGTCCTTTAAGCTTCCAAGCTGACACATTATTACAGCCTACTTGGAGACATACAGCTCAGATAAACACTCTTGGTGCAGGGAAAATTTTACTAGTCTTGATTGTTGTTTGAAGAGAAAAAACGTTGTTCTGAGGCTCAATGGATGAACTTTGAAATAAAAATGTCATGCACAGGGACAGCTTTTGTAGTGCTCTTGCCTGTACTTTTCTTATAGAACATGAAGGCCAGCATTGTACTTGTGTAATCTGTTGTACTTTTGTAATGTACATTATCAACGTCCTCCGCACACTGTTGAAGAAAATTACAATGAGAGAAAAAATTACCCCGACTACTGTACATGTATGTTCATGTACATGTAATGCATGTACACGTAGTATCATTTTTCAGTCCCACAGACACCTCAGGTAAACCCTAACCGCTCCGAGTGGAACAATAGAGGGCGTGTGTTTTTGGTGCTCACCGCATAGGCGCGCCATGAGGCGTGCAAGTATATATGCTTGTTTGACGCGGAGCATCTTGAGTACGCGTAACTAATTCATTGCAGCATGTATGGTCGTTGCATGCACGCAGGACGCGTGCAAGAACCGGCTTGTAACCACCTGTCTTTCTTTCACTGATTGACGGTGCATTCAAGCTCGGGGCGGACACACAATGCCCAACTTGAGGGATGAACTGCCACTGAATTGGGATAGTACATGCACATGGGCAGTTGTTACTTTCTAATGAGTAACTCTGACATCTCTACCAATGGAAATGAAGGTAAAGTCTGAATTTCTGATGCTAATTTTCAGGTATGTAAAACAAAATGTAAAAGTACATGTAAAAGTGTATGTAATCTACATAATGAGTGCACGGGTGCTAATGCATAATGTTGCACATTGTACCAGTAGGTCAAATCAAGGATTGTTCCTTCCTCCATGGTCAAACGGTCTTGTTAACCAGTAGCCCATTGGGCAAGCATGCATTAGCACTCTATAGAGATTGGCAATTGCACAGATCCAATTTACCTCAGGGTATGGGGCTCACTGTGATATCTCTGATAACATGGCACAGTTACAAGGCAAAGCTATATTGTACATGTACTTTTTACGTTCGGCCTGAATTTATGTGGGAAATTGAGCAGGACGTTAGACGTTGTTTGCCAAAAGTAAATTTATTGATCACATGAACAATTCATTTCCCAATGCAACCACAGTCAAACTGCTATCCACAAAGAGCATGTAATCAGTGAATTCAACTGGACCTGAGGAGATTCGTGTCTAAGATGAGTACACAGCTACATTATTAGAGTTATTGTGTGCCACCTCTACCGGTGCAAGGTTTATTTGACATTAAAAACACATTTTTCTGTCGCCTATCAGGCTCACAAGTACAGTACAACTTTTTTGGGGCGGTAGTGAATGCAAAATAATTGCACTGCTCAGGAAAAAAAATGAACTGAGATAGGTCATGCTTTATAGGACTCAGTATACCAGTACGTGTAGAAAAGCTATGTACGTGGATAACGAAAAATAACTATAATTGATTTGTCTGCTGGTTGGGTTGTTTTGCTGACAGATGGTTGGGTTGCCTGTCTGTCTGCCTGGATGTGTTATCCATGTTCAGTTCTTCAGTGTAGCCATGTGTCAACACAACACCGAATTGGAAATTGAAAGTTCTGAAAAACTTTCTATAATTTTAAAGTTTTTTTTACATTTACCATCTGTGTGTGGGTTACAATGTGTGATTCATGAGGGACATAATCCAAATTAAAACTAGTGAGTTTTACCCCACCGGAGGGTTCAAACAGGTTGGAAAAGAAACTTGAAAAATAAGATGTTGTTGGTGTTAGATGAGATGGTCCAGCATTAAGCTACGAACGCGTTGGCATGGGAACTGAACTTACAGCACTTAAATCACAACCTGATGCTGGGGGAACTCTGACAAAACGTATGTCCCTTGAGATACCGGTAAGCTTGAAAATACATCTTTTGCGTCTTGCCATTTTATGTTAATGATTTCAAGCGCATACATGTCACAGAAGCTAAAAGTTCTCTCTTAAAATCAAGCCCTTTGCTCCAATAAGTATCAATTACATCTGCAGACAGGCAATAATAAGACGCACTCCGTACAAGTGAAAGGGAAAGACAGTACTCACCAGAGCATAATTTACTGATGGCTTACATGCTGCTGTGACCTGAAAAATACAGTAAAAAAAACAGAAAGTACTGAAATGAATAAAGTACTTCAATGTCAAGATAACAAGCACACTTACAAGTATTTTGTCAACATTTTTCCTCTGCAGAGCAGGTAAGTCATGGCGAAAAATCACGAGCAAAAGCTCATACTTCCTCTTTTTTTCCTGAATGTGTGAAGAAAAAATTATTTTCAACGTTTTAAAGCAAGATGTACTGAGTGAAAAAGCATGCCAATTAGATATCTGCCATTTTTCCAACCACTTACAGTAGCAGTGCTTTCTAAATGAATGACCTGTCTTGTTTCCTGATAATACTGTTGACCAAGAGTTCCATAAGAATTGGAACTTTGCACAGAATAGGCCATGTGACCTTAACACACAGCAAATTAAAAAGCTGAGGGTGTCAACACCTTTTCCACATTTTATTTCACCCTTTGATAATGTACATGTATGGTACACTATACAATATGCATCTATGTATTTGTGTATATGTACCGTCGTAATTAATTTAACAACACACAGCATTTACAGTTGAGCTAAACTGAAATTAACAGCGAAATATTCTCTGGATCAGTGGAAAACAGAGAGAACTGACAAAATTCCATTTCAACGCACCTATCTCTGAAAGCGATAACCCTCAACTTTCCGAAGTCCTTTAAAGTCAACCAGATTTTGTAAGATTTTGAAGGATTAATACAAGTAGAGCCAAGAACATGACACTGGTGTTCCTGCTCAGTGAAAGATATGGGAGATTCCAGAAGGGTCTTGGCAAAATTGGCGAGTTGGGGCTAAAGATTCGTTTATTTAACCAAAATTAACAAGCAAAATGCTAAAAGCTTTTGATTCTATTTCATGGCAAAAATATTCAACAAAAACTTTAATTCGTTTGCAGCTGACATCCACTGCATAACACACACAATGACGGATTTTTTTAAACTACGGTTGAAAGAGAATCAAAGAGTGTTTGAAATAAAAATGCAGATTCTGTAACACGTTGGATTCCAGATTGTTCTCATACAATGCTGATGTTGAAACTATAATTCACTTTTGCGGTTTGAGCTTACTAGTTACAAACAGAGGAAACATACCATACAGGAGATTAAAGTAAATGTGATCCGCAGAAGTCAATTTACCAACCCACAACAGCACAGCAAGACAACCATCAAATGCAGTTGTCAACTCACCTACCGGTATGCGAAGCCCTACAGTCCACAGTTAAAGCTATGTACAACTGTACACGTCGATCAACAGCTCCTAAAACATCATTCTCCTAGGCACACTTGACTTCCCAGGGAGAAGTGCCTCTATTCTAACAAGGCACTTTCACTTTCATGGGCAACTTTCTCCAGGAATTGATGATACCAAACATCTGATGAACTGGAACTGGCTAATGAATTAACTTGATGGTTCCATGCCAGGAAAGGAAGAACACACCAATGCCGTATATTCCAAAAGACTGGGGCCGGACTATTTAGACAAGGAAGACAAACTTGACTGTGCCCTACACTACTGCACGCACGCAGTGCACAAGGCCAAAGGGACCCACAGTAAACAGAGACAAATATGGAGAGAGCCCGCTATGCAGATTCTTTGCATGCTTGGTGACTTGGCCGACTCTTGTCCTGCAGCCTGAAGGGGCTGCAATCAAATCTACACTATGAAACCAATGAGAACCATCTGCAAGACATTTGAATATTCTAATTTTTGCGGGGTTTTTTTTGTTTTTCTTCTCTTGCAGAAAAACCACACAGATGATATTTTGATTGGAATCTCCACACCCCACAGATGGGAATCACATTAACGGAGACAGTCAGACTGCCAAGTGCAATGCATGGGCAGTGCTTTGGGAAGCTTGTCCAACGTAAATTCATCTTCTAACTGAATAGTACAGATAGCATTTCAGCTGGCAATGGCCAACCAATCAAATCAAATTGCCTGTACATGTACACTGTATGTAGGGAGTCACTGACCTTCTGTGACATTTAAAATTGAAAGTAGTATGGAAGGCTTTCATTTGCTCTTATTTTCACTGAGATAGATAGGATTCCACTGAAGATGCAAGCTGAATGCACATGCAATAAAGAAATGAAATGATTTTATTTACTTCCAAGTTGGTGGCATAGAGAGTTGTTAAGACAAATCCCATGCTAGCACCATTTATCATACTTTTTATTGTTTTAGTTCACATATGCAAGGGTTTTTTACGCACACAGAAATCTGGAACTCAGGCTGAATTAAAACCAGAAACAAAACTGACTCATGAACAGTGCTTTTTCCTCAGACAGGAGATTTCTAGTGTTATGTACATGTAGATGGTCAAGCTTGTTAAGTTCCTGTATACCTGAGCACTGTAACAAACTCCATGGTTTGATTGCAATGTAAATGTTAGTACAATTTTAATACCAGCCTGTTACTACAAGATCTCAATTTAGAAAGTACAACAAACTGATGCCACTAAAAGTGTAAACGAGATCTGGCAAAAATTCCATCGAGGTTTGAACTTCAACTAATTGTGCACTGTGCCCTGTGCACAGTACATCATGGTGCCTGGTTACACGTACACTGATACATCATAATGCACATCTGGTCAGCTGTGACGCATTAAGAAGTGCAGAGTCATAACAAGTCGTTATACTGCCTACAACAAATGGGGATACTTGCAGTTTAGAAGTGGTGAGAGATGCGACGGACAGCTAGGTACATGAAGACGGGTATGAAAAGGGAGAGCTGTACAGGCAATTCCTTTTATTACTTCCCACTAACATCCATGTATATTTACTGTAAGATACATGCATATGGTAAAATCTGTCAAGCATTTTATTGTGAAGTCAATCATTGAAAAAAAAAGGTGAGCGGACAACAAATCATCACGTTAGAGCAACGAGGTTGTATCTCGTGTACAAAGCGAATGAGAGTTACGACCTTACTGCACTGAAACAACAAAATTATATTTTACCTCATTCAGCATTTCAGCGTACATGTACATCAAAAAGAGGAACTTGAACACAAATTCTGTACGTAAACCCTCACAATGCTGGTGTTTGAAAAGTTGCCCTATGACTCAAAAAACTTGCCTCTTCCTGAAGTACATGTACAGTGCAGTACTACAAAGTAATACTCCACCACAGACAAGTGAAACTTGGAGTAAGGACGCACAAATTGAGATTCCTTGGGAAAAGGAAAGCACTGATGCTACAGGTACAAACACAGCTAGTTCAGCTAACATTGAAGGTCTCGATCCTGAGTACAGAACACTGTAATCCAGGGAATCCCTTAACCCATGTGTAAAGCACAGGCAAGCAGGGCACAACCTTTCAAATTAGAAGCTACTGGTACTGTCTTCAAATTTGAGGAAACCATCAAGAGCTTGAATTAATCAATTTTGTCCACAGTTGGCCTGCTTCTTCCATCTGGCTACAACAAACTGACTCTGTTTCCGAGACAGAAAAGTCTGTCCACTTTCTGTGATACAGAAATCACTAGCTCTACAATAGCCAAATTAGTGCAGTTTTTACACACCACCGTTTGCTCAGCAGAGATTGTACATGAATAGATGAAACAGGTTGCCAATAAAAATGTCACACAATGCATATCAAACTGCTGGTGAAAATTTTTTACTAAGCCTGCTTACTCTACTTAGTAGAAAAGCATAAGGCAGTATGATTGGACAAAAGACTGGGGATGGGGGGTAAATGTCTTGCAATATTACACATTCATATGAAATCAATTCTTCTAGTTTAGAAATGATTTACAGTGAACGGCCAATGTACTAATATACTTGCATAAGCATTTTCTTTTTCAGGGAACAGCAACATACATTGTGTAAATTTCAAGATAAAGTACCGATGCTTGTACATCTTCAGTGTTAAAAGAACAGGATACATTTTCACTCCCGCAAAATGTTTTCCCTGAAGGCTCTCCAATAAACTGCACCAGTGAAGGTCTGATTACTCATTCTTTCCGATGATCTTGAAGACTACCTCAACATTTGAGGCATGAGTTATTGTCCAATCAGGAACAAGGGCAGGCATGTTCCAGACATGACAAACAGAAAGTGAGAGAGTCACTCGTAATTCTTGCTTCCAGAGCTAACATTCAACTGGAGGCATTCTGTTGGTGCTTGAGCTTTTATGGGACCCTTGAGAAGTGCCCTTGAACAACTTTGACAGCCAAAACACGCACAGCATTTATTTGGCAGCAGGGCAATTCCTGAGGGGAATGGAAAAAAACACAACACAACCACCTAACTACAAACGTATCTTGCCTTAGTTGATCATATTTTTCCTGACATTCTCTCCCTGGAGTTTGTCAAATAATCCGGGGAACTTTGGTGAATACGTGTGAAAACTGAAAAAGTACTCTGGGAGAGTTTTACCCCAGTTACAGCAACCGAGTGACTCTGTAAAACCAAGAACTAGAACGGCTAAGCTGCCAAGGCTCGCTGCTTGATATGAATCCAAATTCCTTGACTGCAAAAATAGCATGCGAAGAGACACCCATGACAATCATAAATGGCATTGCCAAAGTGGACAAGAAAATCATACTATCCAAGTGCAGCTTTGGAGCAATTTTTAAGTACAGCAAGAACAAACAATTGGCTTATATAACATGTAAGCCTAAATAATGGATTTAAAAGGAATGGTATTCTTAAGGTTCCATCTCCACCCCACCATCCACTCCATGTCCAACTCAAAAACCATCCCATCATCCCATGCATCACTATGCTCTCAAACCCATCATCCCATCCATCTCTTACTCCGCTTCAATCCCCTCATCCCATCCATTGACTACCCCTCCCTTACCCATCATCACATCTATCTACTACTCAGTCCCAACCCATCATCCCAATCCTTCTCCTACTCTACCCCCACCCATAATTTTATCCATCTCCTACCCTCCCCAACCCATCAACCTAATCCATTTCTTACTCCACCCCCCATTCCAATTCATCTCCTACTCCGCCCCCACCAATAGTTTCAACNAATCTCCTACCCTCCCCCAACCCCTCATTCCATATCCCATCCCCACCCATAATTTCATCCTGCCCGTTCATCTCCAACTCCACTGCCACATCATGCCACCCACCCCATCCCATCATCCCATATCCCTCCCTATCCATCATCATATCCATCTTCTACCTACTCCCCCACCCATTCATCTCCGATTCATCCCCAATCTCATTCCAATCTGTCACCTACCACCTCCCTTATACGTGTACACCTACACTGCAAGTACAGTTGAAAACTGGAATTCACTTTCTTCATTATGTAAAGTCTTAACACTCCAGATTGAAACAAACAAGCACAACGATACATACTATTACCACATATATCCATAAGCAAAACAGACATACGCCCATACAGATGGACAACAATTGGTATTACATTAGGCCTGCATTTGCTTTGCAGCTGAGCAAAAATCTACTGAACTGTTTGCGACAGATGTTTAAAATACATGTATCTATATGAAACATTGACAACTTCATACCCTAGAATGTCCCTTGCTCATCAGTGTCATAGGGAGGGGAAGGCCAGCCCCGCTCACAAATTCCCAGTGCCTCCCAGGTCCCTCCCCCCACTAAAAATAAAAACAGATGAATGGATATTGAACAAGGTTATCAAAAACTCCCCCCCCCCAAAAAAAAAACCACGCCACTGAAAGCTGGTGCTCCACATAAGATGCTGGTGCCTCCATGTTCCCTCCCCTCACTAGTAACATCTTAGCTATGCCACTGTTGCTAACACAGGTTAGGAGGACTGGAAAATGGCAAGTTGATGACTGGCTATGATTCAAGTTTGCGTTCCCCTCTACATGCCTGAGACCATGGAGCTATTAAAGAGGTTCGAATGTCCCATCAATGAATCACTTAGCCTTGACATTCCTGCCACTTGACATTTTGACATCTGTATGTGAGCCATGGAAGAAACAATTAAGCTGACCTAAGACAGGAACTATTCCCTTGCCGACTAACTGTTAATTGCTCCAAGAAATGAGTCTGGGTATCACTGAATTGACAATGCATCCTCTACCAAAGGTACACATACGTGATCCCACATAATGTCAACTATGCAACCTCAGATGGATGCCATTCCATTTCATTGGTTCATGTTCAGCTTAGGTGTTAATTGCTAAAGGGACAATGCCAAATTTCTTGCTAAACAAAATACAATCTCTAAATCTCTAGTCTCTGTCAAATGCATGTACATGTGCCGGTATCTCCATTCAGTAAAAAAAAAACCACCCTGGCTGATATTACAATTCCAAATGCGCTGTCAGATGACCATACATGTACATCACTGAAATTACCATATTTATGAAATCTTTTGACATGGATTTTTCAAATGAAAAGATCAAATCATACTGAATACAAATGTGAATAAGGGAACCAATGAAACAACTTTAGAAGTGACCATGCATAAAACTGAAACTCACCAGATGTTAATCCTTGGCTAAGTAAAAAAGGAAAGTCGGCGAGGCAGGGGGAGAGCTGAAGTTGCTTCACGATATTACAAAATGTACACTTCATTTACAACTAACCATATATACACAATTATTAATTTACAACAATCATATTTCCTTATGCTTCTCAGTTTCTGCAGACACCAAAAAAATAGCTGAAGGAATTCCTTTGTTTGAAAATAATCTTTTCTAAAGTTCATGAGATATTCTTTATTCTTTTGGACTTGTTTTTTTCAAGTTATCAACATTTGTATTTCTGCATTCAACTAATCTCTTCTGGAATCTTCAATCTTGTGAAGCAAAAAGAAAATTAAATAAACTCAAAACACGGTGGTTGGTGCTTCTGACATTGTTGGTGACTTATTGGTGACTACTCTTTGGTCCACATCTTAACTGACACTTCGGACTGGTAGGTGGTAGCCCACGGCATTCACTGGTCTTAGTTAGGCTGAGCCACGACCCAGATCAGAGTACACCGGTATAGGTCATGGTCACCAATACATGAAATCATCCAGGGGATTTGGCCATCTATATGATATGGAAAATACATCCAAACCTTAATACAAAATATTTAACTCTTTTCATAAAGGCTTTACAAAGTTAAAATATACCAACAGATGACAAATTTCTTTGGCAGAAACCGATACACTCTCAAGAATTTGAGGTTATTAAATTTTACAAGTTTATAAGACAAAACTGAATAAACTGCATCCCTTTCAACAATCTTTTCAACAATGTTAAGAAAAACAAAATGTTCTTATATATTTTATATATTCTAATCATCCATGTATGATACGTTCAACTGAAAAAGTAGGAGAAAATGGAACTTACGAGTTTTCTTCAGAGAAGGTGTCCAAATCTTGCAGGTTGGATATCTGTGCATGCCACTTTTACATGTATACAGACCAAAGAAGTCTTGGCCATGCCTATGATAGCAGTGTGTGCCTTGACAATGGTATTTCCTTGTCCAAAGGAACCAACATTCTCCAATGCCTGAAATGGGTTAGCTGAAGTACAGGCTGTGTGAGTGGCAGAGCGGCATCCCTCAACAATGTCCTCTTTCTCCCACTATCTCAAACACACTAACCGTTTCATCTTCAACTACTTCCCTCAACATTTAAGGAAGTGGCTTTCCTAGAACCTACACATAACCTCTTACCGTATGTAATACCATCTGTGCCCAACCTAACTGTAACAATTGCTTTTTATCTGAATAAAAAAGCAGCAACTCGGTGGCACAGCCTAGCTATTGTTATCTATGGAATACCTGTGTAAAATTAAGTAATGTGTTGAATGAAGAAACTGTGTGAAGACAGGTGATAGTGACTGAAAAACAACTCATGACTAAAACAACAGAGGGGAAAACTAAATGGAATGTTCCAAGTAAGTATACTTTTTGGATTAAACTATTTTCTTTGAAGGTAAGAAAAAATGAAGGTAAAAAAGCAACATCTGTGACACGAGACGTCACGCATTCATAGGTAAAAGATATGTGCGCATACAAAATTGTGCATGTATAACATACAGCAAAGCCACTAACACCACAAGATGTAACACTGCCCTCTTGTGGTCATCAAAAGAAAGCTTAGAGCAACACCACACAGTACAGCCTGTGTGTGTAGACAATTACAGTGGACACAATGTTGCCAAGGACAGTGAGAAACAGAATATATTCCCTCCAACTTTTAAGCAGCAGGACGACCTACAGGATTATTCTAGACTCCTCCCCCCCAAAAAAAAGAGGAGAGAAAAACCATACACGTTGCAACATGTACGAGTACATGTAGTCCAATCGACCTAGACCACCAAAATAAGTATGTCACTGGGTCATGTAAAATTCGTGGGGCAAGTGGCTCAATTTGATGAGGAGCACCATGGGGCTCTTGAATTAAAAATCGACCAAAACATTAAGGGATGCGCATCATGTGCGTACACGTATACAGGGCATCTACACTTGCTTCCAAGATTACCACAACCTTGTGTCACCCATATCAGAATAGGTATTTTTAACTTTATCTTTCTTAAATTTTTCAAACAGTACATGTACATGTAGCAGGCAAAGTGCAAGCCCTCAGTCCAGATAAAAGTGTCAATGCAAGTGAGATAAATGCACCAGTAAGTGGGTCAGTTTGACTCCGCTTGTGATCTCATCAAGATAAATGCAACTGAAGTCAAAACCCAGTCCTTCTGATCCTGACTTAGAATTTAAAACAAAGTGAAACAACAAAAACCGAAGCCAAAGACAAGAAAACCAAAGGCAAACATCACTAGCAATGTTTAAGTTATCACAGGCAATCAATAGGCCTGCTTTCTCACATCGCGTGCAAGTGGTGTTGTCCTGAAATGAAGTGGCAAGCATTACTGAAGGCCAACTTTCTGAGGCATGACAATACAGGTTGACTGCTAATCAAGGGATGCATACGTTACTCCGTACTCACCTTGTACTCACATTTCCTATGGCACGCATACTTGCACACTGTGAAGAACAAAAAGAATGCAAAGAAATTACACCTGTACATGTACAAATGTACATGTAGGAATAAAATGATGGGATGAATTGCTATTCTAAATGAGCTGTCAAGCTTTTTGTGGATTTCATCAATTTGGGTTTGCATATATACAGAGTACAGAGTGAAACAGCAAAACAAAAATTGGCAACAAGGTTAACTAAGTCACAAAGGTTCAATATGAAATCACTGTATTACATTGTCCCATTTAATAAGCCACTGGACCAAACATTTCTTCCAATTGTAACTTGGAATTGGAATTGTAAGTAGAACAAGACTGAAAATTCAGCACCCTTGACAAACCGTCGCATTTAAATACCTGATTATAAAGATGAACAAAGAAATTGACTGGAGCGGGATTTGAACCTTCCTTCCGGAATACCGTATCAATGCTCTACCACCTGAGCTACCCCGCCCTATGTTGGTATGTTGGTCTACCAACATAGGGCTGGGTAGCTCAGTTGGTAGAGCACTGGTACGGTATTCCAGAGGCCGCAGGTTCAAATCCCGCTCCAGTCAATTTCTTTGTTCATCTTTCTAATCATTCATAAGCACCTAGTCAGTTTCCCTATATGATTTTTTTCAGCATTTAAATACAGTTATATCTTGCACGTGTTAACAGTAATACTGTAATAAATGTAATTTAGCACTGGATACGAGAAACTTGGGGACTTAAAAAACATCTTTCAGCATTTCCCCCCCATTCACAGCGATACCAGTATATGTGTGATTTGAAGGAGCTACATGTACCTACCTCTGCAGGTCCGACCTTCATTCCATATCACCTCATTGCAGACCTGACAGGTGTTAGGATGCTTGAAAACCTTGGTCTTGAATGTGTGGCTCTTAGAATCTATCAAGTCCTGGGGCTGAAGTACAAATGAAAAGATTCATTCAAAAAAGTGATAAACGGCAAGTGGCAAAGAAATTCTTATGACTTTCCAGGATGGCCGTATTAATCAGAGAGCATTATGCTGCATTTCCACACAAAATCTCTGTGTATTGTCATTTAGATGGAGTGCAGCCCAGTTCTCAAACCGCACAAAGGCAAACACAAAAGCACATTTTTAACAGCATGAGGTGGCTGGCAAGTATTAGCGTTGAAGATATTCAACACTAGGACACATTTCAATTCAAGTGGCTGAGTCTCGCTGTGACTATTTTGTGAACCCAAAATTTCCCTTACATAACCACTCACATGAGGTATCAGTTCGATACCTTGGACCAACAGGATCCTGTTGACATGCTACCAAAATAATTGCCGTTATGGTAGGATCAGACTGAAATGTTGATTAAATATGAGGATTCAAACAGCAGATTTACACATGTACATGTACAATACTACTTGACTTCATTTTCAACAGTGGAAAAGAATATGGAAATACATGCATGGGTATACGCCCCCAATTCCGGTAACCCCACAAATGAGAGAGAGAAAACAAAAACGGGTGGAATTTTTGTGAGCAACTGAGCACGCTCCAGATATTACCGGTACATGTAAGAACAAGCACACTTGGATCACATGCAGAAAAGAGCACAGCAAATTCAACAGACATGTGAACTTGCTAAGATGAAACCACATCAGCTGGATAATTTGAAAGATTGGATTGCCGTTTTTCTTATGAAACAGGTACTAGTACATGTCTCCAACTTCCACAGAAATAAGAAAAGGGCTTTGTCTGTATAAACCAATGTCAGATTCACATTGCCCATTGTTGATACCACAGGCCACCCAAGTCTTCTTGTTGTGTTAGAGTTAATCTCAAAATCTACATTTGACCCATTACTTTTAGAGAGGGTCGCACTTTTAATCATTACTAAATTAGTACCGGTACCAGCATTTTGTAGTACTTAGATCAATATAGCTGAGTGAGATGCTTTACACTTGGTAACTTTGGTGCTGATCAAGGCCAGCCATATTTTTACCAGCCCCTGTAGGCAAAATACGACTGTGATGGAAATAGCAAGTTTACCCTTTAGCCTCCTATGACAGTACACGTAGATGTACTGGGTAATTTTTGCCTGTTGTACATGTATAGGTATTCGTGATTACAGGAATCAATATCACCCTACAGGCTTGGCATTCATTACACAAGCACTTCTGCCCTGTAAGATTTGTGCCAACAGTGATTTGGATTGTCACATGAAGGAGCTCTATTGATTTTAACGATTCCAGTTAGCCCGTGTAGTTTTGCTATTTTTCCTACAGTAGTCATGCAAGAAGGTAGGACACACTACCTGAATACATACACGTAAGATGTCATTTCTTAATAATTACATACATGTACATGTAATGCCCATGCGTATTGGTAGCAGTACCCAGTACATGTACGGTACGGTACATACACTGTACGTATGTGGTGGATCTCTAGAAACTTACAGTAGGCTAAACGTAATTGAAACTTCCATTGCAAATGCACCTTTATGGTTATACAAGTAGTGCAATTATCAATCCTGAGTACTACGATGATGAGTCTGGGGAAAATATCTCCAGGTATTGTACATGTATGCATACCCCCAGAACTGTGGGGTCCGATGTCCGCTCCGCTCTTGGGAGCGGAACGGAGCGGACGTCGGACCCCATAGTTCTGGGGATATTGTATGCATGAATATCAGTGAACAAAACTTATGTAATAAAACTGCCTTCAGTCCATTTATAATACATGTTGCCTTTTTCTGCTTGACAATTTACTCCTATCTTTTACTGCACAAACAAAAAGTACATGTACATGTATTTGATATCCCACTGCATTCAGACTGAGTTGTACACTGTGTATTTTTACACTGTGAGTGGCGACAGTCTGGCACTACGCATACACGTAGGTCCAGATAAATTTGGCATTATTCACCAATTTCAGCAGACGCAAGAGGTAATAAAACTCTCTATGCTTTTATATGTTTCAAAGGTTAAACACTCTGAACTAGTTTTGATGCTGATACTGGGTATCTGCAAGCCTTACCAATGAATGTGGCAATGTGTGTTGACTTTTTACAGCTCATAGATAAGATATGGGGTCCACCAGAGCTGACAAGACACAATTCAAACACAAACATAGCCAGGTGAAACAATTTCTCATTTGGTTTCAAGACACACTTTTTTAAAACAAAAAGATCTTGTGTTTTCCAGAATCCCGCGCCACAAGTAAGCAAGCAAACTTCTTTTACATGGAGATGCAGTGGAGAGAAAATAGAACACAGATGAATATACCTCGACAAATCCCAACGAAACAGATTTCCAAAAATGACATCTGAAGGTTTTGTGTGAAGTGGTTTTCTTACCCTTCAACAACTTGGGACCAGTACACCTGAGTCTCACAGCATAAATGTGCACTTTTAACCCTAACAGTCCCAAATTCTACAAAGTACTACTTAGTAGTTAAATGTAGTACTCAGCCCTGTCGTTTGTAAGAGGACATGACATTATTATTCTCTGAAGCCATAAAATACAATCGAGAAGACAATGTACCATACAGTGCTGTGGCACTATGAATGCATGATTTCATTGTTCTCTGTACGAGTAAAAATGGAATAAACCTCTAGCCAGAAATAGTAATCTGTAGCGCTAGGTCCTTCAGGCTCAGAGTGTTACATAGCATTTTGTAGTACTGAGTACTCTCAGCCAAAGAACGTCTGGTACTGTTAGGGTTAAGATGTTTATCATTTGTTTCCTCAAGTATTCACATTCCTGTACATGTGCAAAACCACAGTTGATGCTTCTTAGCCGGAAGACAAAGAAAATGCAAGAAATTAACTGCAGCCATGTGTACCACATACATGTACTGCAGACAAGCCATCACACTTTTTTTTTTGGATCATTTCTATGGTTGCAGGCCACATACTGCAAATAGGCCCATAATTGCACATGTGGACCAAATAAAAATTGGCACGCCGGTCAAATTTTCTCTTATTACAGCATTTTGTGGTCCACTGACTGGCAAGTTTGTAAAACAGTAGGGTGGAAACCACTAACACTAACTGGACTGTCAGCTTGTATTTCAGAGAAATTTGGACAGAACAGAACTTTTCCAATGTCTTTATGATGTAACGGAATACAGGCGTCAGTTTTCAAAATGACGTGCTTCATGCATATTTTTAAGGGGGGGTCATAGTAGGATGGAAACACAAGAATCTTCAAAGGTCATTGGTTAACCAGACCCAAATTGAAAGCAAAAATAAAGTTGAGAAAATAAGCTTTTAATTTTGTGTGCAACTACGAACACATTTTATGTTTGAGGACCTATAGTAAAAAGTTATCCTCAAAAGTACAAGAATGAATCCCACTTGTACAATTAAAGATACATCAAAAATATACTGTACATGTTCACTGTACAGTACATTCTTTGAGTTTTCATCTTTTGACTGTAACCAGCCCGCGAACAGCAAATGCAACTGCAATCATTCACAGAGAATAACACACCATGCAGGAACCCATATGCATGTATGTATGGCACATGCTTGTCGCTTTTGAGGGGTGTCAAAGCCCCCACACTGGTACATGTACATGACACTTGTTCAATATCTTTACCTTCCTAGGCATTCCCAATGTTTTAAGTACATGTATCAAGTAGATAAAATTGTGTGTAAAGATACAGGTGTGTACAACATATCCATCACCTGAAGGGTGTTAATTAATGTTACCTGTATTTTCAATTAAGGGATAAGAATTACATGTACTGTATATTGACCCAGAGACAGCAATTCCTTCAAGTGTGTATCAAATTATACAAAATGGTTAGAAATTTTCATGCAAAAATTGCTAGACAGAATGGTGCATTTATGTTCAGTAACATGTACATGTATGTCGGCATCCACGTTAGGTTTTTTACTAAATTTCTGAAAACAGACACGACCCAAATACCGGTAGTATATTATTGCCTTTCACTATTCACTGTGAGACTGGACTATTTTCAAGACCAGCATTGTCACAGAGTGGGAATATAAAGTTCCTTTCACACTTTAAACTAATATCAACAATGTCATGTCTTCCTTCCTTCCTTGCTGAGACTAGGACCAAACCATTCTCCCCTCATTATTGAATAGAGAAAATAGCAGCAGTGCAGGCACTGAATCACAGGGTCACAAGGTCAAGAACGGACTCAGATCATGAAAGCAAGTAGGTCAGTTGCTTTGATACCACCTTATACATTTTGTAGGTTTCAAAAACGTCCATGAGTATCCAGTTAAACCCCACAGGGGCAACGATTTTCACTCTTTTGAGGAATCTGTGGCCGAGTTTTTTGTTAACATGGGAACCTTCAACAGCTCAGACCTAGTTCAAACAACCAAGCCAGAGGCGGTGCAATAATTTCCCCTTTCCCCCTTGTTTGCCCCCTACACAGTCATTTAAATAGAAAATCTCCTCATGCAATTCTGCCGACATGTATTTTCTTGAATGTGTAGACATTAACATCCTTTGGTTTTATGCAAGTAGTTTCCTCTATCAACTTCTTGAAATGTGTAGGCTCTATGTAATGAATTATACAAGTGGAAATACATACATGTACTTGTACTCTTGTTGGTATTTTTTTCATGCTGTTGATATTCATTTTGATCCTTTCAATCTTTTTATGGAATGATGTGCAGTTAACGCCCCCCTTCCCCCGAAATTCCTTTCTCCTCACTCCCCTCTTCAAAGTAGTGAAGGCTGGTGCTAACTTAACAAACATTATTTCAATGGCAGACATTTGGAATCACACCAAATTTACAGGTATGACTAGAAATTTATGGGTGTGACTAGATCCCATAGAATGAGCCTAAATGCCACTTTTTTCAGTTGTGTTTCAGTTTCCAATTTGCGAGAGCAAAACTGAACAGACTGAAAAAAGCTCAAGTTACATGTGTTAAAGTTCTGTCCTTTTCACTTAACATT